ATCCTTAATATGAGAAAAAATACTTCATGTCCCTCCCTTTTTTTTTTTAAATAAAATTTTCTATATTGTTATAGATCTGTGGACTAATGCTGTTTGTTTAGGGGGTCTCAGGGCTAATTGTTCCTCATAAGTTACAGGATATGGTTCTTGGGAAGAAATACAATGTTTTATATGTTCTATCGTGTTAATTTGTGTCAGTAGTTATCTGCTTAGTTGTGGGAATCAAGGCAACTATGGTAATTGGAAGTAGATGTCTTTCTATAACAGAAAAGGAATCTCAAGGTGAGTGAAAGGTACCATTATTGGAACACAAAAATAAAACAAAATAAAAGAGAACATGTGTAGATATGGAACAATTTGTTGCTGTCTACAGATTCCCAATGCCTGAGGCATTGTATATCATTTTAGTTCTACACTCAGCCAGTATAGCTTTTACTGTATGTTAAAGGTTTTGTTCTGCTGGAAGACGAATGTCTACACCAGTTTTAGGTTCCTTGTAGAGTGGAACAGTTTTTATTTCTTATATAATTATCCTGTATTTGACTTCATTCATCTTTCTCCCAGTCCTGACCAGTTTCCTAGTCTCTGTTAATTGAAAGCATATCCACAAAATTATGCTGTCATTGTCATGAACCAACGGGAAAGGTGTCCTCCATGCAATAAATAATCTTTTGCTTGGATCAAAAAGTTGCATTTGAACTCATTAGACTTTCATCCACATGCTTTTGTCTCCCATATATACTTTGGTGAACTCTGTACAGGATTTGAGGTCAACTAGAGACAGGTCATATTACATTTGCTCGTGTAACTTGCTAGTGCTAAGAGATCTAGGCCAGCTCATCCTTTCCATGACAGGAACGAACTGTCACAAGATCTAATTAAGTCCTAACTTAAAAATTAAGTTGAAATTACGATGCAAGTTGGCACGGAGACATGTCTGCAATTTTCTTACAATAAAGGTTCCCCAAAAACGAAACCTCATTATAAATCAAAACGACATAATTAGCATTCTAAAATATTGAACAAAACTCAATAACACATTCTACCATAGGTTTACTACATTGTCTAAAAGAAATCCACGTCAGACACGATCTAGAATTCAGCTTTGAAGTATAGAAAAATCTTAAAAACAAACTAATGCTCGCACAAGCAAAGCAATGCTTTAAATGTGAAATATTTAAAACTCACTGGCTCTTTACCTTTACTAGCACAATTTATAGCCATTTTATCCTTGCTATAAAAATATATTCAGTATTTTCACTCTTTGCATGTGTGACGGCATGAAATACTACAGGACTAGAAAATATAATTACAAATGACAAGCATATTTCTGGCAGTTTTAGCACGCTGTTTAATCACACCCTTCTTGATTCCCAAAGTCTTGTGTTGTTTATCTGCTCTTTCAGTATCTATGTGACAGATTTTCAGAAGACCTGCGGGGCTGCAGAAGAACTCTGTCCTCTACAGAGGCCCCAAAACATTTCCTGGTTGAGTGGCATGCTGGTGACGCGAGAGCAGCTTGCAACAGGTGTCACTTTAAATAAGTGTCAAATATTCAATCCTCTGGCACTAAACTTGCCCAGCTGAGGATCAGTACACAGAGCAATGGTCAAAGTACATTGCAGAGAAAGTGGTAGCATTATACTTACGCATAAACTCTGCTTCAAAGAGAGTCTGATTTATTACACCAGTCACACAAGGAGGTTAATAATCTGAAAAGGGGTTCCAACAGGGGGGAGGGGGGTAGAATGCTACACTGAGGTTTTTCCTTGGACACTGAGACATTTAATACCGATTTGTCCTTTCTAGATATTTATTGCAAACCAATACATTTTCTGAGTGTCATTGCAGTTAAAGAGACACTATAGTCACAGAACAACTACAGCTTATTGTATTTGTTCTGGTGAGTATAATCATTCCCTTCAGGCATTTTGCATTAAACACTGTTTTTTTTTCCCAGAGAAAGGGCAATGTTTACATTACGGCTTAGGGATACTTCCACTGGCCACTCCTCAGATGGCTACTGGAGGTGCTTCCTGGGTCAGCGCTGTAAAATGAGCAGCACTTCCATTCAATGCCTCCACCCTCTGCATAGAGACACTAAACTTTCCTCTGTGATTGGCTCAGAGAATCACTTTTGATGATGTCAGCCAAGCAGGCAGGGCAGAGCCAGCAGCTGCAGACTTGACTCATATATGAAGGAATAAGTAAGCACATACATTTAATGCTTATTAGATGACCTTCTTTTCATGATCTATGTGGTTATGTTTCTCAATCATTAACAGGTGCACTTAAACATATTAAATGTTCCATTATCCTAAAGCTCTTGATGGTAGCTAAAACTATTAACCTGAGAACATGTAAGGTGCCAGCAACTCCATCATTTCACTCTCGGGTAGAGGCGGTTGAGGAGGTAGAATGGCCAGAAGACCTATTTGCCCAGGACCTTAAACAATGTTAGTCCATTGGTTGGACTTCCTCTCTTCCTGTAAGTTTGTACAGCTAGACCAGAATGGTGGTGGATTGTGGGTCTCTTCCCCTCAGATGCCATTAGCCAGGTGGCATGGTGAGGGGTTGGAAATGGGCAGTAACTATCTCCTTTGTGAGCAAGTATGTATACATGGGTTTAGCCATGTATCATTTTCTTCTCTAACTCTCCTAAAGTGTGTGTCCTTAACCTCCAGCCTCTTAACCCTTCAACATCTTTTCCAACCAAGTTAAGGTAGAGGCCTAGAACAACTTGTACAGGCGTTTAGTGATTTCCTCCAATTTGAGAGCCTACTTAGGGCTGATAATTCATTCTAAATATGTTCATTTTCTAGCTTAGTTTATATTAGCACCATCCATTGCTTCCAAACCTCTAATCATTTCAACACTAGTACATTTTCAATTTGGATTGTAAAGTTGAATCAAGTTTATAGAAACGTAGAATTAACACAACTTAATGGGCTGGGTCCCAGGTGTATATAGTTTATGAACTTTTTAGTGTCAATCGGGTTTTATATTTTAGTTTGTCTATAGTCAACACACAATCAAAAAGGTCGCAGATGGGTGGGCAGGTTGGGGACTACTCAATATCCTCAGCCCAGCCCATTAACTTGTGTCCTCTGTACTGGACATTTCATTCACATACATCTTTTATTCTTTTGAGCTACTCTATCAATCCCTGCTGTATTGTAAAGAGGACATGCTGGCCTTTCCAATGATATGTCACGTGACATGTATTCCTTTTTACCAAAAATAGAAAATAATTGGAAGACAATGTTTTTCCTCGGTTCCCAGGAGAATATAGGGATATGGACTCATTTTCTTAAAATACCCTTGTTAATATTTATTGCTGCGGATATAGAACAAATGTAACTTTGTGAACTTTCCAGGTTTGTTTTGCATTGTATTATCGCACTGTCTTTCCTTAATAGAGATATTTACAAAAAAAAATGTATAGAGGGTCAATATAAGTACAGCTGCATTTACCCTAATCAACCATATCATAAAAAAAAACCACTGCAGGTGAAGTCAATAACATTAATTACATTGTTACAATGGCACCTGTGGGATATATTCGGCAGCGAATGGTCAGTTGAATTTCATGTGTTGGAAGCAGGAAAAATGAGCAAGTGAAAAGATCCGAGTGACTTCGACAAGGGCCAAATAGGAATGGCTAAATGACTGGGTCAGAGCATCTCCAAAATGGCAACTCTTGTAGGGTGTTCCTGGTATGCAGGGGTTAGTACATACCAAAAGTGATGCAAGGAAGGACAAGTGGTGAACCAGCTTCAGGATCATGTGTGCCCAAAGCTCATTGATGCACGTGGGGAGTGAAGACTAGCCTGGCTGGTCCGATCACACCGAAGAGCTACTGTACCTCAAAATGCTAAAAAACGTAATGCTAGCCATGTTAGAAATGTAACAGAGCACACCGTACATTGCAGGTTGATGCACAGCCGCAGACCTTCCAGAGTGCCTATGATGAACCCTGTCCCATGCTGAAAGCTCCTTCAGTGGAGACGTGAGCATCAGAAGTGGACCATAGAGCAATAGAAGAAGGTTGCTTGGTCTGATAAATCACATTTGCTTTTAAATCAGGTAGACGTTCGGGTGTGTGTCTTATGTACCTGGGGAAGAGTTGGCAACAGGATGCACTATGGGAAGATGGCAGGCTAGTGGAGGAGGTGATATGCTTTGAGCAAGGTTTTACTGGGAAACCTTGCTGGGTACTGGAAATCATATGGATGTAACTTTCCCACGTGCCACCTTCCTAGAGATTGTTGCAGACCACACACCCCTTCATGGCAATCTTACCTGCTGACAGTGCCCTTTTTCAGCAGGATAACGCACCCTGCCGCACTGCAAAAATTGTTCAGGAATGGTTTGAGGAGATAAAGAATTTAAGGTGTTGCCTTGGCCTTAAAAATCCTCCGCTCTCAATCCGATTGAGCATCTTTGGGATGTGCTGGAACAACAAATCCAAGCCACGGAAGCCTCACCTCGCAACTTGCAAGACTTAAAGGACCTGCAAATGTCTTGGTACCACATGCCACAGGACACGTTCAGAGGTCTTGTTGAATCTATGCCTTGATGAATCAGAGCTGTTTTTGCAGCACAAGAGATACCCATGTGATATTAAGCAGGTGCTATTAAGCTCAGTGAGTAGGGTAAAGCAGCAATGCGTTTTCCTTATATAAAAAAAACCCTCCCCCATCCTTTATTTATACTATCTTTTTTTCATTGTGCTGGTTCCTAATATCTGATTCCTCTGACTGATGGATTAAAGGTAACTTAGCTAAGCAACTGTGCTTGAGCTTTACCTATTGCCAAAGATCATGCAACCCATCATACCATTTCTTATGTATAACTGAAAAGTGCAGGTGAATTTCCAAGTAATAAAAACAATGGAATGTAGAGGGAAAAATTATTTAAAAACAAAACCTGCAAAGTGACTCATCACTAGAGAAATTAATCAATGCTGCTCAGGTATCTCAATAAAAAAGGACAAAATGTGATTTTTATCTTACTTTTTATTTACAGTAACATAAGTTAACTTTGCACATACCAAACCAAATTAAATAAAGAACTTTCCTTCCAAAGTAATCTGTCATTTCTATTAGCTGTCTAACCAAGACACAGCCCTGTGACCTAGGAGGAGAATGAGAAGTCCTACACTACAAGGCAAACTGAAAACATTCAGGTGATATAAGAAATTCTAATGATTTACACTTTAATCAATCTTACATGCCATTCTCTCCATGAATGGTTTGAAACTCCCTTTTGATCTGCTGTACAAGGGTTAATAACTGCAGTTCTCTAGTGCAATGAGTGCAGTGATAACGCAGTGCAGAACAGAGGGATGATCTTTGAAGCACCAGTCATTAGAGGACAGGTCGATTTACATAAATTATTTAGAATCACATAGGTGGCAAATGTACTACTTTTCTGGGTGGGAGGGCATTCAGTGCACACAACATCACACATCATCTTTGGAAACCCACAGGGCCTGTAAATATTGTTGCAGCATCACTGGGTAATTTATTCTGCCAAGGTTATCTGTTTAAGGACCAACGATGGTCTAAACTATCATAACAATGTGGTTTTTAACTAGTGTAATCTAATCTGAAATGCTTAACTCAGTTACTGCAGGTAGTAACAGAGCTACCACCAGTGTTAAGTATAGAAGGCAAGACATGCAATCCTTCAATGGGGGCTAATAAACTCTTTCTCTGCCTTTTAAACAAGGTGCATTTAACAAGCTAGCTACTACTCAAGTGCTTCCAACAAAGGCTACAATTACAGTTCTTAAAAATACGAAACGAACACTGAAGATTATCTCACCCACCCAGCCGCCACTTTGTACAGTTTAGATAATAAAATACCTATAAAGAGGGCGAAAGCACACGGATGTGTTGTGTTCTGTATAAACACATCATAGCTAACGGTTAGGCATGGTCTAAATAAAAAGACCTGTTACAACACAGTTTTATGTATGTTTAAGTTATAGTGTGCCATTTAGATTTTAACACACAGTAGTGTAAACAAATATATAATTATAGTTTCAGGCGAATTGATTTGTTCCAACACCCAGCGTTCAGTCAGTTCCCTCCAACTCCATAACGTCACCAGTGTAAAACTGCGTATTCAAGATCCGGAGAGTGCAACTAAAGTTATGGGACAAGATATGTGCTCTGCCGCTTCTCATAAACAACCACAGTTTTGTTTGAAGCATAGAAATACAATACAATATATTTACAACACAACTGTTCTACATAGAATATAGTTTTTCATTTCACCATCACTTCATGCATCACAGGTTTCCTGGCATTAAAAGGGGCTCAAGTGAAAATGTCACCGTTAGTAACCATAGTCTCCCAAGAACGCCAGGGACAAATGTTTGTCTTCGATCACGATTGACCAGCTACGTGCTGATGACAGGGATGTGAAAATCCTTATGATCAAAGATAAGAGGTCTTTTGGGAGGATTGGTGTCCTTGTCTGCTCTATGGAGAAGTTTGAAGAGGCCAGTTCCAATGTTCATTGGGATACCCATTATGATGCATTCTGAGACCCCTAAATAGTGAGAGAAGAGGGTCAGTGAGCGCTCATCAATGACAAATTGAAACACTTTCCTCAGTATAGAATTTAAATGCTGCAGGAAGAACATCTGTTATTGTATCAATACATTTCCTTTGGTATTAATTTGATTAAGTGACTTCTCCCCTGCACCATGTGATATGTATCTACTGCTTAACATTATGAAGAAATGTTGTATCTAATAATATGCACTTTTACTAGGGGACAGAGAGTGAGTGACAAATTAAGAAATGCTCACGGACATTTAGCTTACAAATAAGTACAGAATTGTTTGGTTTTACATACCGTATATACTCGTGTATAAGTCGATCTCATGTTTAAGTCGAGGGCACGTTTGTGACCAACAATTGTGAAATATGCTATGCCTCGTGGATAAGTCGAGGGTAAAACTTGGGACTATGAAATTCTGTGATTTTAGAATTTTATACACACACACTCATACAAACACACACTCTGCATTATATACACACACACACTCAAACAATCTGCATTCTACACACACACTCATACAAACACACATACTCTGCATTATATATGCAGAGTGTGTGTGTGTAGAATGCAGATTGTAGGAGTGTGTGTGTATATAATGCAGAGTGTGTGTTTGTATGAGTGTGTGTTTGTGAACTGGGTGGAAGGAGGGCATTTTTATTATACATTTTTTATTTTAATATTGTAAGTTTTTTTCTTTTCTTTTATTTGAATATTTAAGTTTTTTATTTTTTTATATTAAGTTTTTTCTTTTCTTTTATTTGAATATTTAATTTTATTTTATTTTAATATTTTAAGTTTTTTTATTTTAATAGTTTTTATTGTATTTTTTTTTTTTGTATATTTAATTAAATAAAATTTTTGTCCCCCCTCCCTGCTTGTTAGCTGGCCAGGGAGGGGGGCTCTCACTCCCTGGTGGTCCAGTGGATGGGCTGTGCAGGAGGGGGGGGCTGACAGTGAGAGTTAACTTACCTTCCTGCAGCTCCCTTCTCCTCAGTGCAGCTCCTCTGTCAGCTCCCACTGGAAGTCTCGCGAGAGCCGCGGTGACCCCGCGGCTCTCGCGAGACTTCCAGTGGGAGCTGTCAGAAGAGCTGCACGGAGAAGGGAGCTGACAGGAGCTGCAGGAAAGGTAAGTAACCTCTCACTGTCAGCCCCCAACAGGACCGCCGGGCTTGTAATGAGCCCGGCGGTCCTTGTCTGTATTATGGCAATGTAAATTGCCATAATACAGACATTAACTCGAGTATAAGTCGAGTGGGGGTTTTTCAGCACAAAAAATGTGCTGAAAAACTCGACTTATACTCGAGTATATACGGTAGTTAATAATTTACTCTAATTTACTTGATATTGATTTTATTCTGCATTTGGGAGATTAAACATTATTTAGGTGCTTAAAAAAATACAAAGAAATTAAACTTAAAAACACAATGCTTTGCATGTTTGCAAAAGGCTTTGTGTCTGTATTAGTGAAGTTTTGGGTGGGTTTCAAGACAATAGTAAGACTTTAATTTTAGAAACTGGTAGGAAAACAGCCCCCAAAAAATGTCTGTTAGGTTTTTAATATTTAAGCAGCGGATATTAGAGTATAGTCCAATATAGGTAAAATACATAACCACTGAGATCTCTCACCACACACAGAATCCTTCTGTCCAAAATAGGCCGCATCAAAAAGATGATCAGCGGTCTTCTCAAAGGAAGCCAACATCAAGACGCTTTCCTTCATCTTTGCCAAGCCAAAGCGAGTGATGCCCAGGACTTCACCCTATAAGAAAGAGGGCGGAAAAGGGAATGGTGAAACTGGAAATCTAGAAGAAAAGTCAGAGTTTGGGAGCAGATGTGTAGTAAAAAAATAAATAAAAAAAAATAAAAATATTTAAAATTAATAAAACAATGGTTCAACCAGTACTGCTTTCTGGTGAAACTTTATTTGCACACTGCAGTGGCTTAGTTACAAAACTTAAAGGGACACTATAGGCACCCAGACCACTTCAATGAGCTGTGCAGTGTCCCAGCCCCCCGAGGGTTCAATTTAAAATTCCAGTGCTTATAAAGTGCTGCATACCAAAGCTCCTCGTTTTAACTTCATGAATAAATAGCCACACTTCACTAGCCTGCTTTTCTTCCTTTATTCTAAATGTGACATAATAACCTCTGAAGTACATTCTATCCTAATAATTAGTAGATCTCAGTTTTCACCAGATGTGCTTTACTATGGTTCATAAAACATGAAGGGAGTGTGTGTGTGTGTGTGTTTAAGGAGGCTTTCAAACACAACCTGATGTGGGATTTAACATGGCCACACTCCAGATGGTGCATAATTTTCATTACACCGGCCCTATATGTGACAAAAATCTGCATTTTAACCACTTAATGCTGTTAGAGCGTTTCTACATAAAGTAAGGCTGCATAAAATACCCTGCATGTTTAGTGTGAGCAGGGTTAAATCTCTGCTCACACCAGGTAGTACAGACATCAATGGACACCTGGTACGGCTCCTCTGTCAGCTGGGGCCAGTTTAAGTGGCACAGACTTTTTTTGATGAGCTGTTTGCTGTGCCTGAAGTAAGCAATGCAAAGTGCTTTTTAAATAGGCATTTATATGCATATAACTAGATTGCAGTGTGAGTAGGGTTAAACCCCTGCTCACACCAGGAAACCCAGGTATCCATAGATACCTGCGGCTCCTCTCTGTCAGTGGAAGCCATTTCTAGTAGCCCGAGACTGACAGCCTAGCTGCATGCAAAGCTCAGAGTGAGATCAACATGCAGTTCTTTCACTGGGGATTTAAATCCCCATAGACAGCAATGTAGTGTGAGCATGGCTAAACCCTGCTCACATCAAGAAAACCAGGTCTCAATAGATACCTGGGGCTTCCCTCTGTCAGTTGGGGGTCTTTTTTGTGGCCCCAGACTTTTGATGAGCTGCAGGCTGAAAGTCAGCATATGTCACATCAAATTAAAGCCCTTTCTGTCCCTATGTATTGGGGAATTTGAAGCGAATCCCTTAAATTGCAGTGGAATAAAGCTATAGCTCAAATACAAGGTTTTTTTTTTGGTTCAGTAACAGGGATGGTTAACCTCTGGTTAAGATGCAAAGTCAACTAAATTACAGGGACTTTATAGTCACCAGAACAACTACAGCTTAATGTTTCAGAGAAAAGGAGGTTTACATTACAGTCTAGGGGCACTTCAAATGGCCTTAGATGGCTACTAGAGGTGCTTAATGAGGCAGTGTTGCACAGTGTGCAGCACTGCCATTCAGTGTCTCCACCCTCTGCATGGAGACACTGAACTTCCCTCATGAGGAGATGCTGATTGGCCAGGGTAGCGTTTAGCTCCACCCCATGCCAGCCGCCCTGGCTGAAATCATCAGAATTGACAATCTCAGCCAATCCAATGCTTTTCTAACATATCAGTCAAGGCAGCAGATCAGGGGCAGAGCCAACACCAGCAGACTGGAAAAAAGGTACGATTTTAATAGATTTAGGGAGGCAAGAGAGGGCAAGGGGGGCTAGGCAGTGATTTTAACACTATAGGGTCAGCAATACATGTTGGTTCCTGACCCTTTAGTGTTCTTTTAATGTCTCCCTCCACTGCCACAGACAACATAACAGGAAAATGAAACTTACCAATCAGGCTCTGCACCCCATTGTGGCAAGTAAAGGTTCTAACTTCTCATTTCAATGCCCCCTGTCAACAGCAAAGCTCACAAAAAATTGCTGATATTCAGAGGATGCCCTCTTTCAGCCATCCTGATTAATCCAGTAGGATAATTCCTGTCTGGTACAGTAAGATGCATGAATATGTACAAGCACCCAGAGAGAGTAGGCATGCTTTACTACAATATTTACTGTGGTTTGTGAGAGATACAAGTACTGGTACCTGAATTCTTACACTCTCCAGGAAATTTAGTTCCTGCAATGTCGGACTTAAAAAAATTAATATTATATATATATAAAATATATATATATATATAAAAAAAAAAAAATCTATGTCAGCATCACAACCGGGTTAGCTATGCCCACTTGGCTGTGTAGGACGGGATATTAATTATAGATAAGACATTTTCCATAGGTCTCCATATTTCGTTCCTGCTCTCTTGGTTGTGTAAATGTATTATTACCTAACTTTTTATTTTAGCTTGATTTGGCTAATTTTTATTTGGTATTTCCCAAGAGAGATCAGCCTTCCTTCTCTTGGATGCCCCCACTTATTTAGGAACAGCCACTGGGGAGGAGGGTTATCCTTAGTTACAGGAACTCTATCAAATTTGCAGGGATCCTTCGCGTAGTGTTATTGGAGATTAACTTTTACTGCAACTTTGTTTTTGTTATGGAGACCTCCATGTTAGCATTATAGGGCTTTTACAGTAATGCTCTTTGGTTATATACATGTTTGTCAACAGCAGTTTATTCTACTCGTCTCTCCTGCTCTTTCTGATTTTGCAGCATCTTCAATTCTGTTCAGCAAATGCACACATTCTTCTGATGTCCAAATGATTCTTGTTCTGCTGTCTGAGCATGTGTGCTGGCACTATATGGATTGGAGAATTCTAGATCTCCTGCAGGGCACATTTTTTTCAAACTCTTCTATAAATTCTGTTCCCAACATCTCCCGTTCTCCTGGTCCTGCTTTTGAGGCTCTTGGCTCATTTGTTTGGCGGCGTGTTAGTTCAGGTAAGTAGTAACCTTTTTTCTTTTTCCAATATAAGTTTATTCCCCCACACATTTTTGCTTATTCTATTTTTAGCGGTCTTTGTGTCTGCCTCTAGATCATCCATGGGGTCTCCTTCAAGGCACTAAAGGTAAGCTCCTTTAGCTTTTTAGCAAGGGAAAATAGTGCTTAAATCAGCTAATTCTGGACAATTTGGATTTTTTGCAGTGTCCCTGAACATGTATCTCCTGGAACATCTAGAGGAAGAGGAGGAAAAAAGTCCCACAAGTCTGACAGAAGTGCATGCCTCTGCATTAGAGGGGAATAAATTTAGCTCATGTCAATATGATGCAGCAGAGCATGCTAAGGAATCTCAAGAAACATAAAAATAGACGCAGATGGTGGTGGACCTAAGTATGGAACAACAATGGTCCCAGCAAGTGTACTAGATTTATAAGATATAGATAATGAAAAAATTTCACTGATATTTCTGAGGCTGAATTTCTTATTGAAAAATTTGAAGGGATGTATTCTTAAGATAATACAGATTCTGCAGAAGATCGAAAGATTGTAAAAACTGAAAAAATGATAAAGGCTGTGACATACACATTAAAGTTGAAAGAATCTGACCAGGTAAAATCGTCCTCATCCAACATTTTCCCAGAGCTGAAAATGAAGAAACCCTCCTTTCCAGTCCACAAGGCACTTAAGGAGCTTTTTTGTTTTTCCATTAGAATGGAAGAAACTAGAAAAGGATGTAACCATTTAAGGAAAAAATGACTAACATTAATCACTTTACAGAAGAAGATTCCTCTTCATGGGATTTAGCACGCAAATTAATGCGCTTCCATTATTAAATTGGTCAGAAACATAGCTTTACCCCTAGATGTAGGGGTAAAATTTGAGACCAAATGGAAGAATTGATGTAAAAATTATGTACCAGCAAAAGCCTTATCTTCTGTGGCTAAAGCGCTTATAAGGTGGCTAGCCCTTCTAGAGGAAGATATTGAAAAAGGAGTTTGCAGAACCTCTATGATGGAATCACTTTTTGAGCTCAAGAGTGCAGCAGAATTAATTTAAATTTGCATCCGTTGATCTGGTTAGTGATCTTGCTAGAAACATAGCATGTAGGCCTATGTGACTGAAGACATGGAATGCAAATTTGTTTTTAAAGAACAGCTTGTGTGGTATGCCCTTTCAAGTACAACTCCTATTAGGAAAGCTTTTGGATGGAGCTATTAAGCAAGCTTCGAAAGGAAAGAAGGTTTTTCTTCCACAGTTTCGTATGGACAAGAAAGGTTCCTAGACTTGGCAAGACTGAAGATCCTTTAATAGCAGACAGTCCTGTTGTGAGTCTAGATCATACAAATCAAAAAACATTTTTTCCAGGACATCAGCTTGGAAAGTAGAACAGTCTTCCAAAGGTAAATCTAATTTTCACCAACGCATCTAAAATGTCAGTTCTAAAGGTTTGGGTCCCCAGATTCCAGAAGTTGGAGGTCTTCATCACTTTTAGAAAATCTGGAGAAATTTCTTTGGAAAGTCAAGAGAAATGCTTGGATAAGAGACATCTCAAAGCTTTTTAAGGGCAAAGTTATAGCAAGAATAACAAATTGAAGAAAGAGTCAATGGAATCTACTCCATCTTCTTTCTGGTTCCAAAGCTATGAGACGATTGGTGTCTATTTCTACACCTACACAGACAGAACTTTTTTCTCAAGATCTGAAAATGAAGGATTAAATCCCTGTCTCCAAACATCTCTGTAGAGCGTCAAGATGATTGGTTAATCTCCATAGACCTAAAGGATGCCTACTTACATATTCCTATTGCACATCATAAAAAAAAAAATTATAAGGGTTCGCAATTCTGAGAAATCACTTCCAATTCAAAGCTACGCCCTTTGGGTTAAGCACAGCCCCATGGACCTTTTCAAAAGTCCTTCTAGCTCTAAGACAACAGTGTCCAAATCGTTTTTATAATTCGGATGATGTTCTTTTGGTGGGGAAATCAAAACAAAACCTGCTCTTTCAAAGAGATATGGCCTTTCTATCGCTCCAGAGGTTTGGTTGGATCAATTACTAACAGAACTAACTAGTTCAACTCCAGAGGATCTGCTTTCTACGAGTTTCATTTAGTACAGTTCTGGGTATGGTATTTACATCTCAAGAAAGGAGAGAACGTTTGCTGCTGAAGGGTTGACAAGTGGTCTCAAGGAAACCAGTCCCAGCAGATGTATTCATTAGCATGTTGGGAAATTTGACTTCAACAATTAGATTGGTAAAATGGGCTCTTTGGGACGTTTGCCCTCCCCAGAAGCCTTTTTTTAAGAAATTCAACCCAGTCAGGTATTCTTGGTCCAAAAGAATCATGGTCTCAGAGAGTCTTTGAAAATATTTGAAGTGGTGGCAAAACTGCTTCAAATCTCAGTAAAGGTTTATCCTCTTAAAAGATAAATTGAATATTCCTTGCCACAGATGCCAGTGGATTAGGATGGGAGCTTATTTGCATTTTCATATGAATGCCCAAGGGAGATGGAACAAGAGGGCTTCTAAGATTCCGGCAACCTTGTTAGAACTCAGAGCTGCCTAACACTGCTTCATTGTCAAGACTTCCTGAAGGGGACATGGGTGAAACTCAGGACGGACAATGTGCAGCAGTGGCTTACATAAACTGACAAGGAAGTACCCACAGCACAGCTGGATCACCGACCCGGATCTTAACGAATGGCAGCTACATCTTCAGATCTTCAATCGTCTGACACATCATTGGGGAATGTTGGAGCTGGATCTAGTGGCAACAGCATCTAATACCCAGCTCCAAACATTCTTTTCCAGAGGCTCCACCCCAAAGTTATGGCCATTGATGCCTTATCCAACCCTTGGTCTTTCAATATAGCTTATACTTTTCCTCCATTTCCCCTCATCTAGAAAACCCTGAGGAAAATCATAACAGAATGGCTTCAGGTGATTGCAATCATTCCCTATTGGCTTCAAGGGCCCTGGTTTCCTCTCCTTAGGTCCAGGGCGATGGAATTTCCATGGGAACCTCGCAAGCTTCAAAAGTTGCTCACTCAAAGTGCAACAGCACATGCATCTCAGTAAACAAGCATTCAGCATGAATGGAGGAGCTTGATTTCAAAGGGATTTTTTTTTTTTTAGAAGCAGTAATCAATACCTTACTACAATCAAGAAGACCGTCTTCCACCTATTATTGCATATTGATCGCCTTCATGGACTGTTCACATGGTGAAGATGTCACTATATATTCTGCTATAGTTTCCCATATTTTACAGGAAGGCAGACCTGGACAAACACCTCAGCTTAAATTCTATTCATATGCAAGTGCCTGCATTTGAACTCCTCTCAGATCTTTCCCCTCTGGATTTAATTTTATAGTTACACTTAAGTGTCTTTTATTGGTAACCATTACTTCTGGAAAAAGAATTGCTGAAATCCAGGTATTATTGGCAGAGGAACCTTTTACAGTGTTCTTCCCAGACAGAGTTGAGCTTCACACAATTCCACAATTCAGGCCTAAAGTCATCTCACATTTTCACCTCAATGAGGAGATTATCTTGCTGTCTTTTTTCAGTCTCACAATAATCTTGAGGAGGAAAGATGGAATACAAAGCAGGTAGCTTGATGTCTTTATAACTATCTTTCATAAACCAATGGGTGGAGACAGTATTTTCTGAATTTCTCTGGACAACACAGGGATCTTGCTGCATCAAAACCTACATTGGGTGGTATTAGCAATACCAGCTGCTTGTCAAGCTCAGGATGTTCAGGTTCAACCTGGTTTAGAGACAGCACATTGCACGGGATCTATGGTTTCATCTTGAGAAGCTGTGACTAACACACTGAGATCACATGTAGAGCAGCTACATGGTCATCAGCCAATAGTTTGGTCAGGCACAATGCACTAAATGTTCATGCCCAGACGTCTGCTGAATTTAGAAGACATATTTTGTCTTCTGCCTCTTAAGTTATTTACTGAAACTTTTCTAGTGGCATTAGAAATGTTATATCTTCTTGCCTCTTTTTCTTATTTATTTACAGTTTCCCTACCATTTCCCTTCTATTAGCATGGTATTAACTCATTGTGATGATACCGTGATACCCCACCCTGATGATACAAAACACATAAAATTTAGTATTTTTAACACTGGTTCAAATTACTAGTTTGAGTTTATGAGACATGCATCAAGGTACAATCTTGCTTGTGTATCCTGGTGTTCCTGACGGTTCCTTGTGCTATTGTCTGCTCAGGCAGTAAATATTGCACAACAGATGAAATATAAGACTGTAACCATTCTAAGAACGGAATCATTGTAGGTTTAGTACAGTTCTTCTCATGAAAAGAAGATCCGTTTACCACTAAATTCACTTTATCCTATATATATATATATATCAGAAAATTGTAGATTTTCATTTCTGCTCATATTAATGGAAAATAACATTGAAAGGGGCTCTCAAGGCAACATAAAAACTACAGCGGTTGTAATTACTTGACACAAACAAAAAGTCCCTCAAACACACTGGCATGTGGCCTCACTGCTTATGCAGAAATTCCACACCTGCAATAAATATGTCAATATCCAAATCTGGATTTGCTGACACGCTCAGCAAATCGATGCTGTCTAAATTGAGACAAAATTAACATTGCTAATAAGGAACTTCTGAATTAGCAAGTTGACGAGAGGGGGCTGCTGAGCAGACCTCGTGCCACATCCACTACATCAGCTTGCTTAGAATGTGTATTGTAAATATATTTTGAGAAGCTGTTAAAAGAATGTACATTACTTCTAAGTGTAAACTAAATAAGGCAAGTTGGACACCAGGTTGCAATAATACATTTTGTTACATTAGTACTGAGCTTTCAGGATTCTTATTAGTTTTCATAAAACATACACGCAGACATATTTCTCTCTCTATATATTTTTATCTAGCTATCTAATGATTAACCAATCATTTAGTAATATTTAAGGTACCGTTTTAATGACCCTGTCTACAATGCTCACCTTGTAAGTCATCAGGTCTGCCAAAAGCATAACATGGCGTCGATCAATACTCATACCATGGTTCACCATTGTGTACTGTATTTCATTGATAATGGTGGAGCGGGAAGCTTCAATCCCCAATGTCTTTTCCACCTGGTTACAAGAGTAAAATACAGTTGGTAATTGTCTAATATGTATTTAAACAGTTTAACTTCCTGTTATCACAAGTCTCTTTGTTAATAAGAGCGGCTTGGTTCCCTCATACAGAAACCCGTCATGTAGGAATGGGAAAGTCTTCAGCAGCTACAGTCAGGGCTGGGATAGGCAAACAGGTAGTTCAATGTACCTCATAGGTGTTGTTGGACGTTGTATGGGAACCTTTAACTCCATGAGTTGCCATAACAGAGCGAAGGTTGTCCCCTTCCACCAACAGCTTGTATTTTTCCTTGCCACTTTGCTCATCAATGTGTATTACAGCACGTGAAACTTCAGGGATCCCCTGCACCACCACCTTAAAGAAAAGAACAATGAGATCACAATTATCAGAGGTTACATTAGCAAGGTACAGCTATACAGAGGCAGGCCTCCCAGAGGTAATGGTGGAATGATACATTGAGTAAGTACCATGCTAGTCATGATACGCGTTCTGCTTCTCTTTTTTCAGCTTTAACATTTGGGTTCTGTGCTCTCCTCCTGCTGTGCCAAGTATGTATATTATTTAAATATTTTTTGCACTGTCCTAAAAAGGACAGATTTTCTTCTTCCCTTCATTTAGGGTGAAAGTTTGACGTACTTGTTATGCTCTACAATTTGCAGAGGGTGATGATCCTCCCTCAACCATGTGAATGTCCTGCTGCAACCAAGGTAAACGCCAGACATATTTTCAGATTTGCGGTGGCATTGTGCAAGTGATTATGTGTTACGCCTGAGACCAACAGAAGGAATAGCATTCCAGCTTTTGACAAGCATCAATATCAAACAAGTGGTGGTGAATGCGGAAGTAATATGCAACAGAACAGAGGGTTAATTGCAAGAGAGGGAAATACCGGGAAGGTTTTTATGGCAAAAGGTCACGTTCCAAGTAATGGTTGCTGACAAATTATCATTACATTGGTCATTGTGAAAATGCAGTGTTGCACTTTGTATTGTCTCTGTATTTAACTATATGTCAATTATGGAAAGCACCCTCATACCCACCTTTGGGAGTTCCTCTTTCAAGGTCTGCAAGACATAGTACATCGAGCTCTTGTTGTTTTCTCGTGGGGTAACACACACTACAGCCTCCCCATGCACGGCAATATCCCCAGGTTTCACACGCAGCTTGGACATGCAAATTGAGTATCTGACAGTCTCAGCATTAACCTGGGTGGCAAATAAATAAATGAAGCAACGGAGGTAAGGTGTATGTCCATTGCCTGGTGATGAAAATGTGGAAATAATGTGGACCATTGATGAAGACCAGAATGATGTGCTGAAGTAATGTTGAATATCTTGCTAAAAGTACATAAGATGTTTTAGTACCACAAATACTTTGCCAGCATTTAGAGTAGCAAAGCATGATGAGTGTTAGAGTTCTAAAACATCTCAGAATTTTTGGGTACCTCAGTTCACAAAGCCAGCTTTGTTGTAAAAGATGAAACATTTTACAAAAAGGCAAACTTAGTATCCACCAATGTTATCAAGGGGTACGTAGGTTGCAACGTTAAAAGGAACACACCAATTAAAAATAAATCGAAAGACTTTTATTCCAACGCTGGGATAGTTTCCTCTCGGACGTTGTCAATACTAATGACTTGTATACAATCAGATGTTTCTCATAGAGAAGTATCTGGAAACACTGTGCTGGTGCAGTCTATCACCACAAAATGCTAGAAAGGCTTCTTTTAGAGGAGCTTTGAAACTATGATAAGCATTCAAGTCAACTTCGAACTATAGTTTTAAAGCAAGTGAGGCAGGAAACCCTCCTGGATACCTGGTTGACACTTGTTTGAATGGGTTTATAACAGTACCAATATCTCTTCAAATCTGGACTTTTATAAAAAAAAATTAAAAATTAAAAAAAATAAAGGGACACTCCACTGCACAAAAAATAAAATAAAAAAATAACTATTTAGTAGATATACCTCCAGCGGAAAAAAATGCATGCATTTATTCATTGTGGATACATCGAAAACACTATTCAAAAGCTGCAGATCTCTTGTCTACAGCCTTTGCAAGCCCTCCTATTCTAGCCAAGCTCAGACTTCCCCAGGTGCTATGGGCAATTGCCCGCATCTTCACACATAAAGCACTTCATCCAGTTAAAGTGCTTTAGTTGTTTGGAGTGTCCCTTTAACCCCTAAAGCAGTTCAGCAAGCTAAAGAACTTTAGAGAACTGTATTTTCCATTTAGGTGCAGGGTAACAAAGGCTATTAATCTCAGTTTGAAAGTCTCCGAATCCCTTACCTCCAGCCTCAACAACCTTATGCGTTCTAGAGAAAGCTTCACCAGCAGAAAGCAGTCATCAGGAAGAAATACTTCTTCGATGTATTCTGATATCTGTAAAAATATAAAAATGTACTGTCATAAACCCCCCCAAAAAACAAAAGAAAACACTGAGTACACTGAGTAATAAGCAGTGAATTCCTTAATAGAGATGTCGCGAACCGTCCGCGAACTTCTCGCGAACGGTTCGCCACGAGCTGTTCGCGGCGAACTCTGGTCAGCTGACACGTCCCGTCCAATCTCCAGCAGACCCTCCCTCCCAGACCCTCCTACTTCCTGGACAGCAGTTGAAACATGGATGCTGTCCAGGAAGTAGGAGGGTCTGGGAGGGAGGGTCTGCTGGAGATTGGCCGGGACGTGTCAGCTGACCGGAGTTTGCCGCGGACGGTTCGCGACATCTCTATTCCTTAATACGCATTTTATTTTAACACAGATCTTGAATTCATTTACTTTAAATGCTTTTCATGAAGCAGTTTTCGCATTCATTCTGTACAGAACAACTCTGCTTTTAATAGATCATTACATTTATTTGACCTGTCTTCCAGTAGTAAGGAGCTAAGCCAATACAAGAAGTGCCCATTAAAGGTGAATGTAGGATTCTGATAAGTTACTTGCAATGAGATTTTGCCATCTGTAGAACTACTGCGTCTATCGTGTTCAATCAGCTGTTGTGTAGGAAGATTGGCAATGATGTGCCTAACTATACAAATGCATGCCAAACAGCCTCTGTCTCCAGGAACCTATAAAATCTACCCTGAGAAAAATATTTTTAAAAGAAGGAGCCAACAATCTTTGCCCAGAGTATTGACGGAGCTACATTGGGACACCAAGAGGAGAGTTACAACTGCTGGCTTTTCTGACAGCCTTGGATACAATTAGAAGGTTACGGACTGTTGCATTTCCTCATACGATTTAACTTACTGCACTCTCATGCAAAAAGTAGATGGCAGAAGTGAGATGGCCTAAGCTACCATCATAAATATTAACTTTTCAGAAAACAAACAAACAAAAACTAATAGGCAGAGTTTTTTATCCAATGTTTTTTTTAAAAGGAAGAACAAAGTACAGGTCTTTATTTTAAAGAAGCACCCCTTGCACCATAAACACTACAGAGTGCTGGAGTGACTGTGGTGCCAGGATTGCCCTGGCACCGCTCTCAGTTTAAATAATGGCTTGTATAAATCACACAAATAAACCTCAAAAGAATGTATATTGTCCAGTCAGAGGCCATGGATAAATACAAGTCCTTTCTTCACACACAGACAGCCCTAACTCAGAGATTGTAGATTTCCCACTGCTCGCTCACTATCTCTAATCAACTAAATCATGTAAAAACTGCTCACGGCTATCTGTGTTTTATAACCTTGAATAATAATGTTGTTTTGCTTATGAATTCTAGAACATATTTAAAACCAAGAGACATCACCGTGTACTTATCCTGGTAAAACACTTTCTAAATAAAACTAGGCAGGAATATGTAAATGTCATCCTAGGGATATGAGCAGTTTGGACCAAGAACTAGAAAGCAGGATTCATGAAGGCCATACATACGACAACAATATAGGATGATAATATCAATTGTATTAACTCTGAACTTTACACTCATTAACATAGTTTATTTTTCTATGTCAGTGTACTAAGAATTTTATTGCAATAGTGTATAGCAAAACAGTCAAAAACAGGGGAAGAAGTAAATACAAACAGAATTTAGCCAGAGAGCTTATTTTGTCTGCATACCTCCCCCAACAAGGTCTTCTCGATGCGGCCTTTCACAAGACGGGCAAAGTCCGAATCGTCATCAACATCCAGGTGGGCGGTAATGATTGGCGTGCTGCAGTGAAATACTGGGTGTTATATATTAGCAGGACAGGTATGGATGACCTGATTATGGACTACAAGTTTGAGAAAAGAAATAAAAAGATCCAGCTCCCTCTTCTTCAAAATTTCACAACTCCATGTCTATTGGGTAAAACACATAGTAGAGGCAATGTCTTGAGCCCTTGCAGGGGTCTCTATCACATTATGGCTAGTCTCATATGTATTTGTCACATACATAAAGTGAGAGGCAACCTATAGTAGTAAAGCAGTCACAGGTACATGCAATGCTACGGCACAGTCATACATAACTAGACATACTGCCATAACAAAGCGGCATTCGCCATAAAACATGTGCCTGTTATCAGCATTATGGCTCTTGCATCTGTATGGAGTGGATGATTTGTCTATGGAATGCGAGTACAATTATGAATCCCTTCATGTCAAATTATCAGACTAATCACTTTATATAAAGACAGGCCTGGCCAGGCAAGAAGTCTGTTGTGAAAGACATTAAGCTGATAGAATTCATTATATTTGCTTCCCTCCCCCCCTCCTATTAATAAATTTCACTTCTGGGGGTAGAGTCGGACTGCCGAGCTGAGAGGACACGTGCTCGGCGAGCACCTGAGCTCACTACGGGTTTTGGAGCAATAAAACCAGTAAGCTTGCTAATCTTGCAGGTGGTAACTCATCTGTTAGAGGGCACCTCAGTGAATCTGGCCATACTAAATTTGCCACCTTTCTTGTCTGGGTTGAGATTCCTGTGGAATACACACATTGCTGTCGTGGAAGGAAAGGCCGTTCTCCTGACGCCCTATCCGACAGTACGGATATAGCATATCTGAATTCCTGTCATGTATAGCAGCAAGGAAGCAAAGAACACAGTATTTCCTGTCATGTTTAGCAGCAAAGAAGCGGAGACCACAGTATACTTCACATGGTCACCATGAGGTGGACAACTGCCTATATAAATTGTTGGGACTGTTGCATAACCGATTAAGCTGCTGGAATCTTTACCTAAATAAGGAGACGCATACGGACTTCACCTCAATACATATATCTGCAATGGAGATAATCCAGGTTGAACCTGTGGAGGTTTGGCGTTGGGCCTAGGACTAGCGTCATGGAGATGACTCTTCTACAGTATCTGTTTTTGGGAGGCCTCGTGGATTCTACACACAGTGCCATAGCAGGTCAAACTAAGCTACAAGTCTAAATAATGTGGGACTACCTACCAAGGGGACGGCTGCCCTCCTGCAGATTTGGAATCGAATGAGGAGATATCACTCAGCAAGGGTGATGTGGTTTTTTTTTTTGCTTAATTTTGTTACATTTTTCCAAGGTGGACCCCTGATCCTTATAAATTGCTATTCAGCTCAACACTCTATCCACCATAGTAGAAGCATTTCATATTTTAAAAAGTCTATATTCTGACCTCCCTGTTATATATGCAAATGCCCATGCATGGTTGTTTGCTTTAGGTTTATCTATTTAAAAAATAAAAACAATTAAAATTAAAAAATTAAAATCGCTCACATTGCAAGTTTCATGCATGGATATTCGTTTCCTACTCTGACTCTGATAAAGTGTTGTATTATGTGAATTAAATCTATTGTGATGTGAAAACAAAACAAAATAATAAAATAAAGACACAAGAAAAAAAACAAAAACAAAGAAGAAAACAAAAAACTCCACTGACAGTTACACTTGATGGGAGGAAAAATATTTTGTAAGAAAAGCTCAAAAATATATTTTTACGCTCACTGGCAGGATATTTCTAATGAATTACAGTAAGAAGAGTGTAGTTTTATGATTTATTCAAAATATATGAAGCAGCCATATCAAGTAGGGGTATATTTTTATGTACATGTATGCATTTCTCAGGTGTTACGGTCAGGGAAGATCATAAGTTACAAATGTATCTTTCTTCGACAGTAACGATGCACCTCATTCTATACCAAATCTCAGCCCCTTTGAGTTTCTTTGGTACAGGAAACCACTTCACTAATTTTATGGCCAACTGACGAAGATACCAAAACATCAACAATCTAGTGAAAAATAAGTTTACCACAATTCATTCAAAGAAATGTATAAGAACACACCTGATGTTCTTTGAAGCATTTATGATCTCCTTAATGCGAGGAACTCCTAAGGTGATGTTCATGGAAGCAACTCCAGCAAAGTGAAACGTTTTTAGAGTCATCTGTGTGCCCGGCTCTCCAATACTTTGTGCGCATAGGGCACCCACAGCTGAGCCAGGCTCCATCTGTGCTCTGAGGACACAGAAGAGGGTTGATTTGCGTGTTTTTAAGACTTCTTCAATCTACAATGATGGTTCGAAAGAAGCAAATGTGCTTACCTCATGTACTTATCTCGACAGGTCTCCAAAAACTTTTCAAGCTGCGTGGGGGTGATTCGATCCAGCTGATATAAGACTCGCGGCTAAACCAAAATTATAAAAAGAGATCACACACTCATATTAAAACACAGTGAATGGGTATGCAAACCAATAGAATATTGAACGTGTTTTGCATTGTTAGTGAAGAGATTGGTGGTTGGTATTTAAAAAAACAAACAACAAAAAAAATCAACCTCTATGTTCAATATTACAAAAATAAAACAAATACTTGAACAATCTATAGAAGAGATGATTAAATAAATAAAAGCTGAATTAGTCTAACAGAGTGCTTTTTCAAACTTTATATTTAAAGGGACACTATAGGCACTCAGACTATTTCAGTTAATTGAAGTTGCCTGGGTGCACTCTCACAGTCAGTTTAACCCTGCCCTTGTAATTATTGCAGTTATTGAGAAACTGCAATAATTACATTGCAGCGTTAACTCCACCTCTAGTGGCTGTCTATTAGCTTCCGGGTCACTAGACTAATTTTGGTTGCCTGACATTGGACATCCAAACTCTATGCACGATGACATCCAGCGTCTGCAAAAACCCCATAGGAAAGCATTGATTGTTCTAATGCGATCAAGGCACTCATAAAGTCGCGGAAGCGGAGAGTAATTAAGTGAATTAAGGGTTTCTGCCCTGAGAAGGGGAGGTGGTGAGCAAGGATTTCCCTTTAAATGCCATTACTTATAATTCTGCTAACTAAACAACTATATTTAACCGATCTTATTTATAAACATTTTCTGATGAAATTGCACATTTTTGCAAAACAGTGCAATGCATCTGATCTAACCTGCTAATGTTTGATCTACTTGTAGATCATCCCCACATTGCACATATTAAAATTCAGTTTGCAATGCAGTTTTGAAAGGAGATACCTTCCAGTTTTGACTGGCTTTCTGCCCCTCAGCTACCGCTAATTTCATCAACAATGTGTTTCAGAGTCACTTCTCATTTTTCTTATGTTTAAGGAAAGAACAAATGTCACTTAACGCCTTTAGGTCTGCGTTAAAGCTTTTCAAAAATAACTTTGTCTTATGTAAGGAGAGAATCTGGACAATTACAGCTTTTACAATTAACCCACATATTGCTAATAACTAAATTTACCATTCCGACAATAAACACATCTAATGTCACATCCAGTTTTCTCCGTCAGATGAGAAAGACTAAGTGAAGTCATGCAGCGTATTTGCCCTCAGAAAGTGACCTCAAACACTTGGCAGCACATCTACCGAGTGAATTAAGCATATTCACCTCCCCGCCAGCTGTGAAGACTGTCAATTCCTGGTTAAGTATTGAACTGTGAATATTAAATTCTAGGCCACTGATATAGTAATAGCAGAAGGAAATGTCACAGACAGAGAGCCTGGCCTCTATAGTGGGGCCCCCTCTTGCACGTACCTCTGTGGTGCCATTATCATTGATACCGTATTTATCACGGGTCTTCTTAATTCGTTCGGAAACTCCCTTCACAAATTTCCTAATTTCCTGGAAGAGAATGGAGAAGAGATCGGAATTAAACCATCCTGAATTAGCCCACTGTCAAGAATCTCATACAGAGAATAAGCAATATGCTTTCTCTTTATGTACGCTTACATTTTACCTAGTCATGTTTCACCCATTATGGCATTACGTGTATTAAAAGTCTGAGTTTTTGTACCTGTAGATTTTTTTTTTTTTTCCCCTATGGATCAGAATTACCTACTCGTCACAGAAAAAAAAAAAAAAAAAATTCTGCCATAATAATTTTTTATTAGTCAAATGTACAAAGTCCAGAAGGAAATTGTGATTGCATCTGTATAGCTTGCAAAAGCATGTTTAGTTAAAAACAAAAACAAAAAAAAGCATTAGAAAGCAAACATGCAGCCGGTTTAAAGCGTAGCATAGACATCTATAAATATATGTTGACGCTTTAGAAAGATGGTGCCTTGAGGCAATATCTGTTTAGCACACAGAGAATGCTAAGAGCCTGGTGTTCTCACAGGAGATCAGTTAATGGTAAACAAGCAGAAACATGTTCTGGTCGCAGTGGTTTGAGTGAAGTTAATCACTTTATTATCCATTCTTAAAACTGACAAGATACAGAATGAGGAAAAAAAAAAAAAAAAATATTTAGCTTTTTTTTTTTTTTTTTTAGTTAAAAGATCTTCCACGTCAACAGCTTTCATCTTAGTTACTCAAGGAAATGATAACCTAAAAGCTAATTAGTAATTAAATAAAACAGCCCAGGCAACTAATTACTATGGTTACTTAGCTACAACTTCACTGCACGCTCTCTGATTGCATCTCATTCGCTGCCAACACCCAGTACACACATGTGTTGTCATATCCAAACTCTATAAAAACACGCATTTTTTTTTATTTTGAGAAACATAACTAACTTTTTGTTTTAAATATTATCCTTCATACAGTGAGCTCTTAAGGGACACAGCACGAAAATAACTTTTAATAAAGTGGTTTTGGTGACATGCCTCTGCAGTCTCACAGCTCAATGCTTTCCCATTTAGGAGTTAAATCACTTTGTGACTCATAAAGCCTCTCTACACTCTTTCTGTAAAGAGATCTAATTTTTAAACTTCCTGTATTGCAAAGTTTATGGATTATACTAGGATGCACATTAAGGAGGTGGTAAGCCAAGGCTACTGCACCACCAAACTAAGTTTGCTCCAAATTCTCTAAGAATGTTAATTCTGGTAAATGGTGTCGGGAGCAAGGATTTGGCTTAATTTCTCATGGTAGCTCTGTTTGGAATGGAAATACACAGTACAAAAAATATGGTTTGCTTCTTTCTTAAAAGGGAACAAATGTTCTCAGTGAGCAGTTCAGAGGTTTTGCTAGGATGTATTTAAACTAGGACTGGCAAAAGGATGATAAAACATCAAACCAATTGCCCCCCAAAACAAGGACAGAAGGTGCTTGTAGCAAATGTGTTAAAAAATGATAAGCTTAGAGTCATGTCTACAAATGCTCGTAGTTTAGGGAAAAAGATCCATGAACTTGTGGCAATAATGGCAACTGATAGTGTAGATTTAGTCACTGTTACTGAGACATGGTATAATGAGAAAAATGACGGGGACATAGCAATACCAGGGTACTCTTTATATAGAAAAGACAGGGAAGGCAACAAATGGGGAGGGGTTGCCCTGTATGTGAAGGATAGCATAAAATCTAGCCTAATAAAAGTTAATGAGGCGAACATGGAATCCGTTTGGGTTACGTTAGAATTTGGTAATCACACAGTAACTTGTGTAGGTGTGATTTATAGGCCCCCAAGACAAATAGAAGAGTTAGATAATCTACTAGTTGAGGAAATAGCTAAAATGATAATGAAGGGGGAAGTTATCATCATGGGTGACTTTAATCTTCCTGATGTGAATTGGAAAACCAAAACAGCTGCTTGTGCCAAGAGCACACATATTCTAAACTCCCTAGAGGGAGACTTTTCTAAAATTAGAATATGTGTAGAGGAGTCATTATCAGACTGGAGCAATTTAAATGGAGTCCAAGAGAAATGGGATTATTTAAAAGTTGCACTGCTGAAGGCAAAAGAAAACTGCATTAGGCTGGTCAGTAAAAGCAAAAAATTCAAGAAACCACCGTGGTACTCTGCAGATGTGGCCAAAATAGTAAAAAAAAGTTAGAATTTAGAAATTATAAAAAAAAACAGAGTGATGAAGACAGAATGATCTATGAGATTAGGCAGAAAGAGGCTAAGCAAGTTATAAGAGCTTCCAAATCACACACAGTAGAGAAAATAGCACTGTCAGTAAAAAATGGGGACAAAACCTTTTTAGATACATAAACGAGAAAAGGAAAGTAAAACAAGGATTAGTTAGATTAAAAACAAAAGAAGGAAGGTATGTAGAAGAGGATAAAGGTCTAGCTGACTGTCTCAATGAATATTTTTGTTCAGTATTTTCAGATGAAAATGAAGGAAAGGGGCCTCAGTTAGGTAAAAGGGGCAAATGAGTCATTTGTTACATGTGAGTTTACAGAGGAAGAGGTTCTATTTCAGCTTCTGATTTTAACCACAAACATGAAATTTCTTTTATTCGGCTATATACATTAATAAAGGCTAATACCACAAACATTAAATTTTTTAACTTTTTGGAGGTTCTCCTTAGTGGAGTGTGGACCGCCCACCTCAGCGTGAGTGGTTATTCCCACCCCACCTTATTTACTTTCCGCTGAGGTTCTATTTCAACTGTCAAAAGTAAAGAAATAATTTAACCCCTTCAGGACCTAGGACGGTTCAGGGCCGTCATCGGCATTTTTGCGTTGCCGACCAGTGAGGGTCCTGAACCGTCCTAACGGTCAGATGTACTAACCCGATCGCCGTAGTTCTCCCGGCGGTGATCGCCGTTGCTCCCGGTGTGGGGAGACTGCCTGCAGCCCAGACAGTCTCCCCGCGGTAGATTAGGACCACTGTGGCCATGTGATCGCTCAACAGAGCGGTCACATGGTCACAATAGGTGTCCTAGTGTCTGCCTGCAGAGGGACTGTCTGGGCGGACAGGCAGTCTCCCTGCTAGTGTAAAATCATTAAAAAAAATAAAGGTTAATGTTAATAAAAAAATAGAATTATATATGTGTGTGTATATATATGACATATATTATATCTATATAATATATGTCTATAAATTATATATATATATATATATATATATATATATATATATATATATATAGTCATACTAAGTGTATTTTTATATTAATATGTGCATATATTAATATAAAAATACACTTATAATTAAATTACACACATATATATTACTATATATTGTATATATTATAAAATACAAATAATTCAAATTAAATAAAAACATGTAAAAATTATAATAAAAAAATTATATATCTATATGAAATTTTATTCTAACTGTATTTTGATAGTAATATATATATCAAAATATACTTAGAATGAAATTGTATATATATCTATGTATATATAAATAAAAATAATACAAAATATACATATGTCCCTATACAAAATTACATAAATAATTATATAAATATACACGTAGACTTCAACTATATAAATATGCATATATATTTAAATTCTACGTGCGTATTTATGTAATATTTTTACATAAGTAATTTTATTGATTGCAATTTGAGGGACCTGCCGGCCAACCCAGACCGAAAGTCCAGAGAATTTAATTTGCTAGCACTATATTTTACCCTGTAACTTTCTATGACACCCTAAAACCTGTATATGGGGGTACTGTTTTACTCGGGAGACTTCGCTGAACACAAATATTAGTGATTCAAAACAGTAAAACATATCACAGCGATGATAGTCAGTGAAAGTGACTTTTTTTTGCATTTTTCACACACAAACAGCACTTTTACTGATGATATAATTGTTGTGATACGTTTTCCAGTTTTTAAACACTAATATTTGTGTTCAGCGATGTCTCCCCCATGTACAGGTTTTATAGCGTTTTTGAAAGTTACAGGGTCAAATATATGGGTGAAATATATTTACATTGAAAATGGCCAGGTTGGTTACGTTGCCTTTGAGAGCGTATGGTAGCCCAGGAATGAGAATTACCCACATGATGGCATACCAGTTGCAAAAGAAGACAACCCAAAGTATTGCAAATGGGGTTAAAATTTATCAATAGTGACATTGTAACACATATCTGTCATAAATCTCTGAATAACCCCCTCACATGTACATATATTTTTTTTAAAGTAGACAACCTAGGTTATTTAATATGGGGTATGTCCAGTCTTTTTTAGTAGTCACAAACACTGGCCAAAATTAGCATTCAATTTAGTTTTTTACTTTTTTCACACACAAACAAATATGAACGCTAACTTTGGCCAGTGTTTTCGACTAAGTGGCTACTAAAAAAGACTGGATATACCCCATATTGAATAACCTAGGTTGTCTACTTTAAAAAAAATATATGTACATGTGAGGGGGTTATTTAGAGACTTATGACAGATAAGTGTTACAATGTCACTATTGATAAATTTTAAAAATTTATGTTTTGAAACCGCAATATCCTACTTGTACCTATAGCCCTATAACTTGCAAAAAAAAGCACGTAAACACTGGGTATTTTTAAAAACTCAGGACAAAATTTTGAATCTATTTAGCAGTTTTTTTCATTTGCATTTGTAGAGGAGTAAAAGATTTTTCAAGTAAAAGTCAAAAAACATGTATTTTTTTCAAAATTTTTTTTTTAATTACATGAGATTATATAAATAACCGTATGTAAAAAAAAAAAAAAAAAAAGTCCTTTTTGTCCTAAAAAAAATAAAATATATAGTTTATATAGAAACAGTAAATAAGAGAGGAGAACATTACAGCTAAACACAGACACCACAAAAGTGTAAAGAGAGGCCTGGTCGCAAATGTACAACATCGCAAAAACAGTCCAGTCCTTAAGGGGTTAATGGGACCTGATGGAATACACCCGAAGTTATTAAAAGAGCTTAGTGGTGTACTAGCAAAACTATTAACAGATTTATTTAACCAATCATTGCTAACATGAGTAGTCCCAAAAGATGCAAAGTTAGCAAATGTTGTGCCCATTCACAAGAAAGGTAGCAGGGAGGAGTCGGGCAACTATGGGCCTGTAAGCCTTACTACAGTAGTGGGGAAAGTAACGGAAACCATGTTAAAGGATAGGATTGTTGAACATCTAAAAACACATGGATTTCAAGATCAGCGACAACATGGGTTTACTTCAGGGAGCACATGCCAAACTAATTTTATGGATTTTTTTGATTGGGTAACTAAAATAATAGATCAGGGTGGTACAGTAGACATTGCTTACCTAGATTTCAGTAAGGCTTTTGACACTGTTGCACATAGAAGGCTTATCAATAAACTGCAATCTTTAAGTTTGGATTCCAATATTGCTGAATGGGTAAGGCAGTGGCTGAGTGACAGGCAACAGAGGGTTGTAGTTAATGGAATATATTCGAAGCTTGGACTTGTCACCAGTGGGGTACCTCAGGGATCTGTACTTGGACCCATTCTCTTTAATATTTTTATTAGTGATATTGCAGAAGGTCTTTATGGTAAGGTATGTCTTTTTGCTAATGATACTAAGATATGTAACAGGGTTGATGTTCCTGGAGGGATAAGCCAAATGGCAAATGATTTAGGTAAACTAGAAAAATGGTCAGAGTTGTGGCAACTGACATTTAATGTGGATAATTGCAAGATAATGCATCTTTGACAGAAAAACCCAAGGGCAGAGTACAGAATATTTGATATTTGATAGTCCTAACCTCAACATCTGAGGAAAAGGATTTAGGGGTGATTATTTCTGATGACTTAAAGGTAGACAGACAATGTAATAGAGCAGCAGGAAATGCTAGCAGAATGCTTGGTTGTATAGGGAGAGTTATTAGCAGTAGAAAGAGGGAAGTGCTCATGCCATTGTACAGAACACTGGTGAGACCTCACTTGGAGTATTGTACGCAGTACTGGAGACCGTATCTTCAGAAGGATATTGATACCTTAGAGAGTTCAGAGAAGGGCTACTAAACTGGTTCATGGATTGCAGGATAAAACTTACCAGGAAAGGTTAAAGGATCTTAACATGTATAGCTTGGAGGAAAGACGAGACAGGGGGTTATATGATAGAAACATTTAAATACATAAAAGGGAATCAACACAGTAAAGGAGGAGACCATATTTAAAAGAAGAAAAACTACCACAACAAGAGGACAGTCTTAAATTAGAGGGACAAAGGTTTAAAAATAATATCAGGAAGTATTACTTTACTGAGAGGGTAGTGAATGCATGGAATAGCCTTCCATCTGAATTGGTAGAGGTTAACACAGTAAAGGAGTTTAAGCAAGTGTGGGATATGCATAAGGCTATCCTAACTATAAGATAAGGCCAGGGACTAATAAAAGTCTTTAAAAAATTGGGCAGACTAAATGGGCCGAATGGTTCTTATCTGCAGTCACAGTCTATGTTTCTGTGTTTCTATTCTGCCATCATTAGACCTCAGTTATTGCATTATCAAGCAGAATAAAAATTAAGCTGCTAAAAGTTGTCTGTCAGTATGGGTTTCTTCCATTAGAGAATATCTTTTATAGTGTGAATATAGCAATAAACCAAAACAAACATTTAAGGGACAGTATAGTCACCAAAATAACTTTGTAATGAAGCAGTTTTGGTGTATAGATCATGCCCCTACAGTCTCACTGATCAATTATTTGTTATTTAGTGGTTAAATCACTTTGTTTATACAGCCATAGTCACACCTCCCTGCATGTGACTTGCACAGCCTTCCTAAACACTTCCTGTAAAGAGTCATCTAATTTTTACACTGTTTAATTTAGAATTTCCTATCTACTGCGCTGTTATTAGCTTGCAAGACCCTGCAGGAGCCTCCTGTATGTGATAAAGGTTAAACTTACAGAGCAGGGAATAAAAACTTTTAAAGTAAGTTATATTTGATTGAAAATGAACATTTTGTTTACGTGCAGGCTGTGTAAGTTACAAGCAGCGAGGTGTACCTAGGGCAGGCATAGGCAACCTTCGGCACTCCAGATGTTTTGGACTACAACTCCCATGATGCTTTGTCAACATTATGGGTGTAAGAGCATTATGGGCGATGTAGTCCACAACATCTGGAGTGCCGAAGGTTTCCTATGCCTGGCCTAAGGCTTCACAAACAAAAACAAAAGTGATTTAACTCCTAAATGGCAGTGAATTGAGCAGTGAGACTTGGGGGGCATGATCTATACAGAAAGCTGCTTCATTAAGCCAAAGTTGTTTTGGGGACTATATTGTCCATTTAATGTGCTCTTTAGTGTGCATTTGCATAAAACATACAAATTATACAACGAGCAAACAAATCGTGACTACATACATCTTACAGGTAAAACTCATCCAATGTACTAACATCAGTACGGATTTCTAAACTCATCTGCATTGTTATGCTTGTTAACCAGATAATTTCATTTTTAAGAAAACACTTTTGTTCATGTGTTGATTTGACACATGGGAGTGCCAGTTCATATATTCATGTGAATTATAAATCTGTAGAAGCGTTTCTTGTTAAGGGGACATACGGCAAAACACATTGCGCTTTCAATAAAGCACCTACACATAATTACAAAAAATAAATTTAAAACCATTTGACATGCTCTCAATATCTGTAATTTGGATTAGTAACACAAAATGTAAATATAACACAATATTGGTGCCAAAATGAATATTCGGTTGCCACATCAACAGAAAACACTCCTGACTGACTCAGTGGTTGCTCGTAAAATATAGAGAATGTGTAGGTGGATTCATAGTATCACAACGCATTATTAAAGCAGTGTATAAAGCCATTAAATATAATAAGTCGGACGTCAAACATTAGCTGCTGTTGGCGTGAATGTATGCTGGCATGCATTAAGATGTGGAGATGGCGAACGCCATTTTTCTAGCCTTAAACATGTAAGGGGTCGATTAAGTGCTATCCAGTTGTGGCTACTGAGCTATTAAGCCACAAATCCCACAAACCTCCAATGGCCTTAAAAGCTTGCAGTTTAATTTCGGAATGTACTTTAAAGTCTGAAGCCGCGCACACATGTAAGCAGAGTGTAAGTACGCAAGACTCAGTCTCATGCTGCCGTTACCTCGTAGTATCTTCTGTACCCTGTATCAGTGAACGACTTACAATGTGGGAAATGGTGAGAAAGTCAGGAAAAAAATAGAACACAAAAAAAAGTGTAATGTTTCAACAAAAGTGATAAATATTCATTGCTAGTTTACACATTTCAGAACATTGTGAAGATTTGCAGCTATTTTTTTTTTTTTCACCTGCCTAGGGGATCAATACTGTTGACCCTTCTGGCCGTGAAATAATGATATAACAAATCCTTTAAATCCTCACTGTTGAGATGCTTGCAAAATCACTTGTGTACATTTAAAAACGTAACTGTTAACCACTGCAGAATGCTGGCAATTTGTCAACAAGGGACGCATTGCCTTGTTTTTGCATAGTACAAAGAGTAGAGTGGCCACTAGCTGTTAAGATTTCAATTCATGTACAAAAAGGCTGATAAAACATAATCTTGGTGCATTCTTAGACAGTCATTCCTCACAGTTCAGCAGCTGCAACCATATTTATCATAAATGACATTCTACCAAGCTTGCAAGTGAAAAATCCTTGGGCCATCAAGCCTGTTTCTTCTACTATGCTACTTATAAAGGTGATAAATTGTGTTTCCACAATGCCATCATGCATTGTATTACACACATAGAATAGGGGAAGTAAATCAAGCAGGTTGTTCAGTTTGTGTTAAACCTCTGATCTGCTAAGGTGAGGCTAAAAAGGTTTGGGCATTGAAAACAAAAATGTGTGATACAATGGTTTTCATTGGTATTAATAGGCTAAACACAGCCATTAGGAAATTAAAAAAAAAAAAAAGAATTCTCACATTTGAGATAAATGTTAGCAATGGGTTGCGTGTTTTTTTTTGTTAATCCAGAAAGGTTTTAGCTCTTAATTCACAATGTATGTCTATCTGTTCTTTGGTCAAGGGCAGACAGTCGTTGGGTCTTTTTGTTAAACCAACTGGGCAGAGGGTACCACACCCATCTTGTTAAGAACAGTTCTGAAGAATGCAAAGGCCCTAAAAAAAAGTCAGACGTTCTAAATTAAGCCATACAATCTAGTTAGATAGAAAAATATCTCTTTAAAATCCCAGACAGTGGAAATTTGAGTCAAATCAGTGTACTGATTCATCCAAGATGAAGTTAGGACTACTTCTCAGTCAATGTTTGAGATGAATGAGACTTTGGGTCAAACAGCATTTTCTTGATATTGAACCAGGATAGGTCCTTCCATGGACACATACCTTTTACTCAAACTCTTTTGGATGAAGGAAACAATTTAAATGCCCGTGGCTTGTTGTCCGGGGAATAGAGTCATTCAAAAGAGTTCTACTGGAATTATGTTTGACCTAGCGAACCTTTTTCCAAGGAACCTCCCCATTGTAATTAGGCAAATCTTTTTAGACTGGCCTGACTACTTACCTTGTGTAAGGCAGGCACTGTTTACTGCCTCCACTATATCCAACAGAGCTGAAAGCTCTCTGTCTGGGCTACACAAAGTGGTGCAGGGTTTAGCAAGACAAAAATAGAAAGGTGAAATAGTAAAATCTGCACGCTGGTGGTGTGGTCGCAGATTGTGTGATCAAGGAAAGCATCAATGTCTAGGAGTACAGATATCAGGTAAGCAAGCCATGCTTACAGTAAGTAAATTAAACAAGGCCGGGTCAAATACCAAAAATGATTGGATACAATGTAATGTTCTACTGCGAAAAGAAGAAACAGTATGAGAGAGAGCTGAGTGTGTAGCTGCAGGCTACAGCTATTGGTCACGGTCATTGTACTATGTAGCTATGTCCAGAGGGTACTTTTATGCTGCCAGGACGAATGGCTTTCCTTTTAACCAGTCTTAACTTTCCTGCAACGTCAGGAAAAATGTAACTTCCTAAACGGACTTTCTTTATAACTTATAACGTTATGAAAACCAACCAGCCAATTTCCCCTAAATAATGTCTTGTACGAACTAAACAATTAAAAACCTGATTCTCTAAATGTCATTCAAACCCTAGCTGAACAGTCATAACTCTGCTTTAAGATTGAATGATCACTGAGAGAGACAAATCACAAGGTCACTTAAGGCAATATCATGCCTGTGGTGGGCTTCAACAATGATCACAGTGCTAGGGAGTCAAATTGGTGGTTATTATTGAACTGGCTTCACTAAGCAAGCAATAACCCAATACACATTGAATCCGGGCATGCATCAGGTAGAAAGATTGCTTACTGCCCTGTAGCATGAGTGGAAGCATTCAATCACTGTGAAAGCCTACCACAGCGATATGAAACATGAAGAAACATTAAAAATTGTAATGCAGGACTGATATAGGATTGGCATGAGTCGCAACTGAAGTAGCTCACAAAACTGCTCTATCATGAAGGCAAATACAAAAAGATAAGTCCTGCGCTCACTCCCATCACTCCTGGGTGGCAGCAACGACCACAGTGCACAACAGCCCCAATATAGACAGTAGAAACAAAAGAAAAAGTTACCTGCGCTCTCTCCTGAATCCCTATGCATGTTTAAATAAATGGAGGTCATTTAGTCACTCCAATGGCCATTGGAAGGAATGCCCGCCGGCCAATGTAAATGACCTCCATTTGTTTAAATATGCATAGGGATTCAGGAGAGAGTGCAGGTAACTTATTCTTTGGTTTTTACTGTATATATATTGGGGCTGTTGTGCACTGTGGTCTTTGCTGCCACCCAAGAGTGATGGGAGTGAGCGCAGGACTTATCTTTTGTATTTGTATTCACTTTTTGTATCACACAGCTTTGTTACAATGCTGCCGCCCACCCCATGTGTTCCCTATTAAGGGTTAATAAGTATATAGGGGTGTATATAAAAAATACCCCTCTCTGTCTCATTAGAGATATCTTTGCCAGAGGCTCAAGGAAGCAAGGTGAAGGGTCAGTGTACGACCCGCTTAAAGGGGTCTGCCTTGACATTGGCAGGCTGGCATTCCTACCAATGGCCATTGGAGTAACTAAATGACCTCCATTTGTTTAAATATGCATAGGGAGTCAGGAGAGAGTGCAGGTAACTTATTCTATCATGAAGGCCTCCAATAGTTTGACATGCCTGCGCCAGCCTCTGGCGGTTATTCCTGATAAACCTTGGGGTATTTGGTAGAACCCACAGCTATAGGTACCTTTAACTTGAAGACTGTGTGCAGGGTATATAAGCTGTAGCTAAGGCTATAATTAGGGACAACATAGTCTTTTCAACATAGTCAACGGAAGCATTAAAAAAAAAAAAAAAAGAAGAAGAACCGTGTCAAGGATTCTAATCCATTTTGCAATACATTTGAAAGTTGAAACAAATGTGATGACTTCACAGAGGGCTTTGACGGTCAAGGTAAAATAAAAGATTTAAAAAAAAAAAAAAGTAGCAGAAAATAAAGTGTACATTTTTCAGTAAATATAGTCATCCTCTTGGTTATTAGTCCAAAACCCAGTCAACCCATATTCATAACATTAGGAAGTACAGCATCATATAAGCATTGGATGGCTATACAGCATTAACCTCAATGAGTTATTAAGAACTAGGTACAAGAAAGCATTAAAATGACTAACCTACTTATAAGTAGCCCAAACAGGGATGTATAAAACAAATACACAAATGTTGCAGAATGACAACTCCCATACTGCCAGCCACCAAAAGGGGTACACCATCATGAAAAGTTTTAGTTCTAGAATGTCCAGGGAAAAGTGCCCATGCTGCTCAGTAATCTTGAGCAGGTCCTTAAAAGATTAACAATAATGCAATTAGGAACATCTAACAGCACACAAAAAAAAAGTGTGCATTATGCAATATGAAAGCAAATGAGAAAAGATGAAAAATGCTAACAAATAGGTAAAAAGGACAGATTACCTGAAGGTAGGCATCCTGACAGCAGAGGAACTCTGACTTCTTCATTATGGACTCAGTGGTGAGAACAAGCTCATTTCTACTAAGTGCTGGTTCATCTGAACAGGGATACACAGCCTAGTGATAAGGAAGAGAATTAGACCACTGTTACTCCATATTACAAAGTTAAAGAGGCACCGTTGCCACCCCCCTGAAAAATTAGTATTTCATAAAGATATTATTGCCAGTGGCGATGTCACAGTCGAAAGGTCTTTGCGAATTCTGCCATGTCCCTGGACAGTGACAGTGCTGCTTTAAGGTATTTGAAATAGTTATTCTGCGATTTTACTTGGGTATTTGCATGATTTTCTACTGCTTTTCTGCTAGTATGCCTAATTATATAATCAATAAAGTGTACAACCCATCATCTGAAATGTTGCTGCATCTGCCTCATGGATTTCCATCATGATAGTCACTAAAACCCCTTGAGATGCAAATGTTTCTCATGCACCATACCTTGGCTGATAGCATACTCTAGTCTAACTGACCAGGACCCACTGTAGCCTTAGCCTTGAGAGTTTGGCACTATATGGCTTCTGACACAATATTTGCAAAAAGACACAAATCCAACAGTGATTACATTCGATCCACTCTTATGGTAACTTCAGCCATTCTAACGCTGCTCTGTCCATACAAGGAGTGTCTTTGATGCTATAGGTAGGGGTCGACAACATTTTTGTGAAATAGGATCTACATTACTGTTAGTCATGCTAATATAACCAATCATCTTATCTTCTCTGACAAATCAGTAGAAAACAGTCCAAAGAATGGATTGAAGCCTCATGATCATGGATATGACCAGCCACATGTTTAATATATCCATGAGCCTTCAATTAATTGCTTGAAATACTTTGATTTATTTCACAAATGTGTTGTTTATTCTGCGCCCATGGAAAAGCAATAATCCCATGAAAAATCTTGAATGTGTGTTTGGCACGTGCCACGCGTGTACATCAGGTCCTCCATGCTCTTCTATGAGGAGAATTGGATTGGACCACCGCGGAGGTGACCAGGACATTGCGGGAGAATGAGAGTAAAGCAGCGCTGACTGAATCATGTCGCAGGAAAAGGGTATATAAAAATTATTTTATAATATTTATGACACATGAGGGTTGGCGCACCTATATGGCTAGGGACAGGGACACCTAAGCATTAGGAATAAAAATTTGTATTTCCTAACATTTTAGTGTTGCTTTAACCAACTGGATCTCTAGCATAAAATACTGCTCTTTTCTCTATGGTTTTTCTTAAAAGTAGAACAAATAAAAAATTCCAGTTGACATGCATCAGCAACTAGAACTTGTCAATATCAAGAACATTAAATACAAATGATATAATTCTCAAAAGTTATATAAATTTGTTGTTTTGGCATACACATTTGTCATTTTGTTTCACTTGTTACAACACTTACTTTAACATTCTCAAGGACACGTTTAAACTCCAAAGGTTCATCTTTTCCTTCCATGGCAGCAGGGTCAAGCCCATCTCCCCCATAGATAAACTGGATGATATCACCAGTGGAACTCCGGACAGTGAGGTCATACTGGGAGCAAAGGTCTTCAAGAGATTTCACCAGACGCCTCTGGGTATAATAAGTACAAAAACAGTTAAGCTGGTAAAACGAAGAGTGTGATTATGTCACTATCAGTTCTCGGATTTTGATTAAGAGATTCACATCTTTACCAAGTAGTACATTTAAGAAATTAGTGACTTAAAGTAAGAAGATGCAAAGTTTACAAACAAAATAAAAAGATATAACAAATAAAATGTCAAAATATGTTTACACATGGCTCAATGTTTTCCATTTTGAGTTACTAGCAATTAGTAAACTATCACTAGTTTTTTTTTATTTTATTTTTTTTAGTATCTCTACAACTTCAGTATATGTACATGAAGGTGTGGATTTGTATGATGTGAACATATGAATGCATGTACATATTTGTATTTAGTGTCTTGGTATGTATGAAAATGAAATGACAGTGTGTGAATGTATAGTGGCATACGTAAGGGGAGAGGGAGAGAGAGTGTGTGTGTGTGTGTGTGTGTGTGTACAGGGAAGTATGTGTACGTAAGACATGCATGTAAGGAGGGTCATTTTATTTAGGCGTGTGTGTAGGCAAATGCGTATTGGCATGAAGTGTCTGCATGAACGCAAGGGCATATTGGTATAAAAAATCTGGGGGGGAGGGGTGAATGTGGGGACATACTGGGGGATGAGGAGGTTGAATTTAGAAGTGTATGTGAATGCAAGATTGTATTTGCAACCCTCAAATCTGTAGCCCAATTTCCCACCTCCCCATGATTTGTAGTCCATTCTCACTTGAATACCCAGTGATATACATTGTATAGTCACACTGAAAGGACACTAATCAGTCCACAGGATTAGGGTGGGTGGGAGGGGACATGGGAATTTTCTGTTGTGATGGATACTTCATTTTGATATTATGCATGTTCTGACAAGTTTATTAAATAAACACATTTGATTAAAGTTACACTGTTTGCAACTATTTAAATCCTAGGTTATTTAAAAACAAAGTGGAACTGTATCCTCTGAAAGTAAAGTTCAACTGTAACTTTGAAGTGTTCCATCCTTAAAAAATGATTTAACTACAAAGTTCCAACTTTTTTTGCGATGTGTTTAACTGCGCACCGAGTTATGTTAATATCTCCCTTTCCTGCCAGAAGCAAAGAGGCCCTTTTTAAAAATAAATAACGGTATTAGAAGACTTAATTTTTCCCTAAACGGCACATGTATTTCTAAATTAAAAAAACAAAACATAATGCAGCCAACTCTAAGAAGGAAGGGTTGTCAAAAGTTTATATATTATTAAAGCCAGGCATACAATTTTAATTTGAAACGTGTCCATAGAAATGTATGTTAAACCATCAAATGGATTGGGTCCAGCAATGCAATTATAGCAGAGTGGTGCTTGTCCAAACATGACCATGTTTAACCTACACTGCCCATTAAGAATTATACTGAAAACCTGTAGAGATGTAAGCCCCTGAGGGAATGAAATTGGACAGTAATCTTCTGAGATGGGATTGAACATTGACAAGTTCATGTCATCCCTGAACCAGTGTTGTAAACAATTATGCAGCTGTATTCCTTAACAGGAGAATTTACTTGGATCCACTATGAGTTAGGCTTGCCAAAACAGACATTTAAAAATGGACCCTTATGAATTTCACACTGTATGTGGTAGCACAGAATATGCACAGCCCCGCTGATTTGAGTCAAAACACAGCCAGAATGGAGTAATACAGTTATTCATAAATTATATATACTGCTGCCCTGCACTTGGTTTTATTCATTTAGCACATATTAATTTGCATTGTGAGTATATTCATCCAAGCACTAAGACTTTAATTGTTTAGTTTTGACACGGTTTTTAATTGCTTTACCACATTAATTTTGTATACTCACAGAGCTCTTACAATAGATTAACTTAATACACTTTAGCTTATTTCGCACTATTTAATTTGTCTGCCACATTAGGAATTAGTGTAGGACCCACCGATATTGGGGTTACTGTGACGTAATTGTGGGCTTAACACAATATGGCCATGTGGGGGAACTGAATCCCCATATTTGTTTTCTTAGATGGGCGAATTAAGTAGCCTGATAACATTATTAGTGTATTTTTATGTGTTTGCCGTAACAATTTGTATCATGTATGAATATTTGTCACAATGGTAGCACCATTCCTGTAGAATGCATTTTTCGGGTGCGCCCCCAATCCTTTTTGTTGTTGTTCTGCACTTGGTTTATGACATCTCGTACTGGATGGAACATACAATTTGATACTGTCGGGAATCATTCTAAAGACCACTTTTCAGTTCTAAAATTTCGTTACTGAGACGAAGGGATTTGAAAGTGGAAAAGAGGCCGATAATATGAAAACAAAAGCATTTTCAGCACCAAATTTAAGGGAATGGTTTCTTTTTGTTAAGATTTTTAATGATCACTGTGCTTGAAGTAGAACAAGTGCAGAGTATGCAGAAAATTACAGTTAAACAGTTTTTCAGTAATTTGAAAGTAGACCACCAAGCATGGTTTAGTAGACATAACATGCAGATAAATAAGGACTCCAAAGTCCGCAATCCAATTTAAGGGAGTGGTTTCTATCTTACCTGCATGTATCCAGTTTCTGCTGTCTTGACAGCAGTGTCCACCAGACCCTCTCGTCCAGCCATGGTGTGAAAAAAGAATTCAGTAGGAGTCAAACCTGAATAGAAGCTGTTGGCCACAAAACCTTTGGCTGCTGGAAGCTACAAATTAAATAAAAGTAGGTTTCAAAAACAAAGAAGCAAAAATAAAAACCTCAGGTGCGAATATGGAATTAATGATTACTGCAAGCCCATTCATTAACAAACGGAGATTAAATCAGAGCTTGCTAAACGTGAAACTTCCAGTTGCTAAGGTCTATGACTAATACTCAACACTATGGCTCATTGAAGTAGTCTAAATGCACTGTCCCTGTCAGCTTAAGCCTGCAATGGTAATTTTTACAGGTATTAATAAACTGCAATAATTACCTTGCAGGTTTAACTCCACCTCAGGTGGCTCTCTACCAGACAGCCACTAGAGGCACTTGCAGGTGGCTAGGCGACTTTTTGTCACCCAACACTGAACCTTTCTCCTTTGTGTACTTTTTAGATTGTACTTCAACAAGAAAAGGGGAGCATAGTGTAGGTATAAGTATATCACTTTCACACTATTGTATACACAGAGCAAATACAGCTTGAGGCTTACCAGACCAGATTTATCCTGATCTAATTCTAGATTTTTTAACAAAAAAAAAACCCAACAAAACAGCTGTTATAAAGAATACATTAAGCGGTGTTATTGTGTCACCTTTGAATGTTTCTCAAAGTGTGGGAGGGATCGGTTCTCAAAGCCATCAGGGACACGAGAACCACTGATGGCCTGCTGGCCAACACAAGCAATCATCTGGGATATGTTAATGAAGGAACCTGTGGAGAGAAGACAATATCATCGTCAAAGTGAAGACAATGACATACACATGCGAATTCAAATAAAAATGCATGCTATAAAATATATATAATGAGAAACTATTTACAAAGAACTAAAACTGCCCCATGATATACACATGATACATATGATATACACGTGAAACTTTGCAAAACGTTTTACCGCACAGTATTCTGTTAAGTTGTATCACAGGTACCTTAACCATCATATAGGGTTTAGTCCATCACACCTTATGATGCCAGTGATTCAATTGTTAAATGGAACTTTAAGTTAACCAACTTCAAAAGCTTTGTCAAGAATCTGAACAGAGTTCCCACTATAATCGATAGGCACTCTGTTCAGGCAAAGGCATGAAATATTTGAAAGTAGAAAATACGTATGGTATCCTTAGTTTTCAAATTAATCTCTCAGAGGCATGTTTTAGCTGACATGGGCCCAAGTCTGTATAATCAGTACAGTCATAAATGGTTCTTTGCAGTTATTCATAAAGGATTTGTTTTTCAGAAAACTTCAGTTACGTTTCTATCTTTTACCACAAAAGCTGTGCATTTAATTCAAGAAGAACCTACGATACTACCTTTGGAGCCACAGAGGGCCATGATGAGTGGGCTGTTGCTCTTATCCAGTTCCCTTAGACACGCGCTACCAGCATGGTCTCTGATTACTGATAACTCTCTCAAGATCAGGGCCTAGGATAGAGGAAAGAAGAACACAAACAGGCAGAGCAAAAATTATTTACTGAAAAGACTTGCAGGAGTAAAGGTAAAATATACACAATATTGCAATACAGTAACTACAACTACTATGCTCTAGAAACATGGCAGGAAGACTGTAACAAAACATTTCCCTGGAATCCCCCCAACAAAAACAAATATATTTTAATTTAATATATAGGTTGCCTTAAGTGCCAGAACTACACTGAAGAATGGATATTGGATCTGTAATGTTATTTAACAAATCACATACCTCCAAAGTTTCTTCCGCACTGCACCCAGGTTGCTGTTGCAATTTGCCTGTGTTTAAAGCCTCTATATATTCATCACATTTCTTATATCCAGCATCTAGAAGATCCTGTTTGGCCTTCAGCAGCCCCTGTCCTGGTGTGACATCACCAATACCAATAGAAAAACCACGGTTGGCTGCAGGATCATCAAAAATAATATCATCAGAGCTTTTCTAAAGTGAACGAATGTACTCATTGGTGTATGTAAACACTTGCAAATTTAGCAACACATCAACACACAGTTACATTGGTTTTTTTTTTTTTTTTAATTCGGTCATTGTTACACAGATCTACTGGTAAAGAGCCCTTATAATATTAAATAGAAGAGACTTCCACTTATAGCTTATCACTGAATTATTAGAATGTAAGCTCATTTGAGCAAGGCCCTCAACCCACTCTGTTCCTGTCGTCCAACTTGTGTTGTTGCAAATACTTGTCTGCAGAATGCAAGGAAAAAAAATTCAACATTCTATTGCACACTCACAAAGGTAAACTGGTGCCAGTCTTGCCAAGCGTGACATTGCATTGGCAGCTTCCATCTGCCCCCAGTCTCGCAGAAGGATGTAGAATATGTTGTTCTTGGAGCCAGATCCCAGCGTTCCCTTGTCCATGCTGCCACACATCAGTTCACTGTTATGAATATTCACGTCTGCAGAAACATAAAAGACAACCGTGAACAGATCTGTTCCAAAAGCATTTCTAAATTCATATCAATGTGAAACGTGTCTGGTTCAAACCATACCTAGATTGATTCATCCTGTTAATCAAATAGAATAAGAAAGAAGAGAAGAGAAAGGAGCAATAGGGTAAATTTTGGAAAAATGTGGTACAACTGATGCATCCAAACAAAACAAAAAAAATCACCAGAAAATGTTTTTACTGCCAAGTATACATTTTTTTCCTCTAATTTAAATGGTCATCAATATCCAAAACGTTATTTACACACATGGCATTCAGTACTTAAAAGGATACTATAGTCACTAAAATAACTGGCTAAAAGGGAAAATGTAGTGTCAGGATTACAAATCTGTATTCCCAACACAATAGTGCCTTCTGGCCCCCACCATCGGGCTGATTCCCTCACCGATTAGATCTCCAATGGCTGGGATCTAATGTGCATACGTAGCGAGTGTCGCGCACAAATTAGGCTTTCCCTTATGGGAAAGCATTGCCTTAATGCTTTCCTACGGGGTTTTCTCTGATGCTGGATGTCCATATGCAGGCTCCATGAACAGCCTCTAGTGGCTGTCTGCAGTACTAAGAATTCCACTAGCGTTTATCAATGCAAATATTGCAGTTTCTCAAAAACCGCTATATTTACATTGCAGGACTAAGAGGGACAGGGGCACTGCACCCAGACCACTTCAATGAGAAAGTGGTCTGAGTGCCTATAGTGAAGCAGTTTTTGTATATAGATTATGCCTCTGCCATTTCTGAGTTAAATCACTTTTTGTTTTGGTTTATACAGCCCTAGCCATGCCTCCCGTGGCTGTGACTGACACAGCCTGCATGAAGACAAAATGGTTTCATTTTCAATCAGATGTAACTTACTTTAAACATTTTTATCTCCTGCTCTGTAATTTGAACTTTAATTACATACAGGAGGCTACTACAACGTCTAGTAAGCTATTAACAGAGAATGCAATAAGAAATTGATCTTGAAGAAGAAATTTAAGAAACAGAACTTGCAATAAAGGAAGTATAAACATTACATAATATTTTACAGAAAGTGTTTAGGAAGGTTTTGTAAGTCACATGCAAGGAGATTTGGCTATCGCTGTATAAGCAAAGAGATTTACCTCCTAATGGCAGAGAATTGAGCAGTGAGACTGCAAGGTCCTGATCTATACACCAAAACTGCTTCATTAAGCCAAAGCGGTTTGTTGACCATAGTGTCCCTTTACACCGTAAAATGTCAAATGGATGGATTTAGAGCACGTCTATACAAAGAGGAAAAAAAAGTGGAACTTTTCCGGCATAGTAATGTATCAATAAACATAACATTAAACACAGTGCCAAATGGTTGATAGATCTATTCCACAGAATTATAATGGAAAGTGCAGAAAAGTCGACAGTACTCTAGTAGAGTGGGCCACAGTCCTGTCCAATAGTGGCTTATAAAAAATAAAAAAAAAGTCTATAGTTTTCTTGTTTCAGTAAAGATGTTAATAATATTGTCTAATTGCCACACATATTTTATCTTGCCGATCTATGCACATGTGGCTCATACTATCAAAGACAGGATCTCAAGATTCAGATCTTGAAGTACAAAGCAAAGCTCAAGAGAATGTTGAAGGTTTTCACTTGTGCATTCTCATCATATCCAAGTGTCAAGAACTGTGGGGCCATGACAGAGTAATAAAGATAATCAGATTTCTGTTGATTCCATGCCATGAACTGAGTGAGCTTTTAGATAAATTAGCCTGAAGTCCTATGGAACCATTATGGCATCTATCGAAGGGTATTAACTGATCCAGTGAACATTATCTGGCATAAGACTCTAAATGACTGGGACATAGCAATACCAGGGTACTCTTTATATAGGAAAGACAGGGGGAGGGGTGGCCTTGTATGTGAAGGATAGCATAAAATCTAGCCTAATAAAAGTTAGTGAGGCAAACAGAGTCCGTTTGGGTTACGTTAGAATTTGGTAATCACACAGTAACTCGTGTAGGTGTGATTTAAAGGCCCCCAGGACAAATTGAGTTAGATAATCTACTAGTTGAGGAAATAGCTAAAATGACAATGAAGGGGGAAGTTATCATCATGGGTGACTTTAATCTTCCTGATGTAAATTGGAAAACAAAATTAGCTACTTGTGCCAGGAGCACACATATTCTAAACTCCCTACTGGGATTGTCTCTAAAACAAGTTGTTGAGGAGCCAACTCGTAAAGAGGCCATACTAGATTTAGTGTTAACAAATGGAGATTTGGTATCAGATATTACTGTAGGTGAAAGTTTAGGATCCAGTGATCATCAGTCAGTGTGGTTTAATATAAGAACAGTGACAGAGTCACACCACACAAAAACAAAAGTTTTAGACTTTAGAAAAACAGACTTTTCTAAAATTAGACTATGGGTAGAGGAGTCATTATCAGACTGGAGCAATTTTTTATTTTTTTTTTATAATTATTTATGTCAAGGTTCGACACCACAGCAAGGTATACAACACAATTCAGATGCTTCCATTAACACGTATACATATAATCGGAAGCTAGTGTCAGTAAAGTTATGTATTTTCATAAAAAACTGCCTGTAACAATTAAACAACCCATGTCTTGTGAACTCGAAAAGTCCTTAAATAGTGGCGTCGCCCCCGTTTTTAATTTTATTTCATATATGTGCGCCTCTTTTAGCCTCTACGCGTGTATAACCTGGGTAGCGAGTACAAGCCATTCAGAACACTCACTTATGTTAACAGATACAGCACATTGTGGAACAGAGTACAAAATAGCTTGAAAGTAACAAAGTCACGCTTCGTGGTTCGGCACCGTACCCCTCCAGTAAGGGTCCCGGCTGCGAACCACAATAGAAAGTAAGGCCAAGAGTAAAGGAAAGGAAAGAGAAGAGTAAAGAAATAAGTCCGACGGGGGAATAAGGCGACAAGGAGAAGGCTGCCAGGGAGGGTGGGCCCGGGGAAGAGACGGGGCGCGAGACCCCCTCTCCCCCCCACTGCCCCCTAGGTTCCCCGTTCCTCCTATCCCCCTAGCGGGCTCTCATCCCAAGGTCCCCAGACCTTCCGAAACGTTCCCAAGGATCCTCGTATTCTAGCTGTCAAGTCATCCATAAGTCTCACCTCTCTTATCCGTGAGTATACACTAGCCATTGGTGGGGCTTCCGGTTTTAGCCAGGTGTATGCTATTGCTCTCCGTGCTGCCAGGGTGAGTTTATGAAGTAGAGTCTGTTCCCGTCTCGTCCAGCCGTCGACTGACCTGCTGAGGAGATACACCCAGGGGTCTAAATCTGGGGCCCTTGAGAAAACCTGGGTCAGGAGGTCCTTCACGGCCTCCCAGAAGCCCTTGAGCTTCGGGCATCCCCACCACATATGCAAGTAGGTTCCTTTGTGCCCACACCCCCTCCAGCAGTCGTCCGTGATGGTTTTATGCATTTTAAAGAGTTGTACTGGGGTCATGTACCACCTGAACATCATCTTAAAGGCCTGTTCTTGTAATGCTACACATATCGAGGTAGTTCTACCAGCCTCCCAAATCTCTTGCCACTCCTCTCCCTCCAGTTCCTCCCCCAGGTCCCGCTCCCATTGTGTAATGTAGGTCAGCTCCCCCCACTCCCGCGCAGCTGTGCAGAGATGCGCGTACAGTCTCGTTATGAGTCCCCTCGGTATACACTCTGACTTGCACATGGATTCAAAGAACGTCAGTGGGCTCTGCGCTATGGCCTGTATATGGGGTTGTCTGGCGTAGTCTCTTATCTGCAGATATCTGAAAAAGTCCGTCGGTGTGAGGTGAGACTGGAGCAATTTAAATGGAGTCCAAGAAAATTGAGATTATTTAAAAGTTGCACTATTGAAGGCAACAGAAAATTGCATTAGGCTTGTCAGTAAAAGCAAAACATTCAAGAAACCACTGTGGTACTCCACAGATGTGGCCAAAATAGTTAAAAACAAAAAGTTAGCATTTAGGAATTATAAAAAAAACCCAGAGTAAAGGAGACAAAATGATCTATAAGATTAGGCAGAAAGAGGCTAAGCAAGTTATAAGAGCTTCCAAATCACACACAGAAGAGAAAATAGCAGTCAGTAAAAAAGGAGGATAAAACATTTTTTAGATACAAAAATGAGAAAAGAAAAGTAAAACAAGGATTAGTTAGATTAAAAACAAAAGAAGGAAGGTATGTAGAAGAGGATAAAGGTCTAGCTGACTGCCTCAATTAATATTTTTGTTCTGTATTTACAGATGAAAATGAAGAAAAGGGACCTCAGTTGAGAAAAAGGATAAATGAGTCATTTATTACACATGAGTTTACAGAGGAAGAGGTTCGATTTCAACTGTCAAATGGAAAGACAAATAAGTCAATGGGACCTGATGGAATACACCCATACACCCAAAGCTATTAAAAGAGCTTAGTGGTGTACTAGCAAAACCATTAACAGATTTATTTAACCAATCATTGTTAACAGGAGTAGTCCCAGAAGATTGGAAGTTAGCGAATGTTGTGCCCATTTACAAGAAAGGTAATAGGGAGGGAGTCGGGCAACTATAGGTCAGTAAGCCTTACTTCAGTAGTGGGGAAAGTGATGGAAACCATGTTAAAGGATAGGATTGATGAACATCTAAAAACACATGGATTTCAAGATCAGAGACAACATTGGTTTACTTCAGGGAGATCATGCCAAACTAATCTTATTGATTTTTTTGATTGGGTAACTAAAAATATAGATCAGGGTGGTGCAGTAGACATTGCTTACCTAGATTTCAGTAAGGCTTTTGACACTGTTGCACATAGAAGGCTTATCAATAAACTGCAATCTTTAAGTTTGAATTCCAATACTGTTGAATGGGTAAGGCAGTGGCTGAGTGACAGGCAACAGAGGGTTGTAGTTAATGTAATATATTCAAAGCTTGTACTTGTCACCAGTGGGGTACATCAGGGATCTGTATTTGGACCCATTCTCTTTAATATTTTTATTAGTGATACTGCAGAAGGTCTTGATGGTCTTGATGCTGATGATACTAAGATATGTAACAGGGTTGATGTTCCTTGAGGGATAAGCCAAAAGCCAAATGATTTAGGTAAACTAGAAAAATGGTCAGAATTGTGGCAACTCACATAAACCGTATAATCAGAGCTGGAAGTGCACTCAGCTCTACCTGGGAAGTTTTTGGACCGCCCTTACATTAAGTCTATTGCTGTTCCATTTTGGAAGATTGTTTGAATATTTTGTTGGCAAGTTATGGAACCTGGAACCGAATCCAGCACAAGCATATTTGCCTATACTGATAATGAGGCCAGACATATTTTATCATCCGCTGAAAGAAATTTTGAATTCCTTAATGTTCCAAGTAGTGACACTATTGTTAAAAAATTGGAAAAACAATTAAAGAAAAATGTAAGCTTAAAACTCCATAGTGTCACACTGGCAGAATATTACAAGGTGAATCGTATCCCTAGAGGTATGCAGATGAATGCATTACCAACATTATTTAATGAGGATTCTTTATATTGTAAACAACTTGAAAAATCTTCAATAAATGTTCAATGGATTGGATACTATTGAATCTAGAATTTTTACAAAAAGAGATTGTGAAGACCCAGGAAGAAATAATATCATTGGAAACTGAATTGGAAAGAAATATACAAGGGGACACTTTAAGTACTACTAAAAGTAATATTCAGTCCAATGTGGATCAATTGAAAAAAACAGATTGAAGAGAGGAAGAGAGGTAAATTTCAATGGGATCTCATGGACTATGAGAGTGGGAATGTTTATAAATGGAATTCCATAACTCCCCATATTAATAAATTTCAAAGATATCCAATGAGAAGACCACCAAGGGAATATAAGAGGGATAACTCTAAATGTCAGTCTAATTCTTCCAATATGAGATCTAATTCTTCACAGGAAAAAACACTCTGCAAACAATTCAGCTTATTTTTTAGGGGAGACTCCTCCACACAGGCGGACTTCAAGCGAAGGAACTTCAGAAGAATTAGAAGGAGTGGCCACAAGAAGTCGGACACTACCAGGACTTTGGAAACACAGGGGGGTCCTCAGAAGAGGAAGAAAATTCAGTAATTATTAATCTATCTTCATCTATTTTATCTGAAATTGAAATTTCCATTTTGAAATAAGGTTTGACTTTTTGTCCTGTCTATGAACCTAGACCATTTGATATTGATGTCGATTTATGTCGTTTTTTTCGTAATATTAGACTTAAGGTTCTTTTTTTCTAAAAATACTTCTTTGGGAAAATCATTAGATTTAAATAATACTGATTTAAATAATACAAATTTAAAACTAAGTGACACTCAACTTAAAAATAAGAGTACATTTAACCCTCAAATTAATGATAATGCTGTTGAAACTTTTATAGAATTGGTAAAACGAGACGTAGATCATCTCATTCAGAATAGTAATAATAAGAGAACAAATTTAAATCGTCATAATAATTTAACTGAGGTTCAGAGAAAAGCTCTTCTAACATTACAGAAAAATCCGAATTTAATAATTAAACCGGCCGATAAGGGCGGAGCTATTGTGGTACTAAATAAAACTGATTATATCAAAGAGGTTAGGAGACAATGGAGTGATAGTGAAACTTATAAAAGAACCCCTATTGATCCTACATTATCTTTGAAAAAAATAATTGATTTATATCTTAAAATGGCTTTGGATGATTTAATTATTGATAAACACAGTTATTTAAATATCTTACTGTTATTGCCCCAGTAATTCCTACACTGTATATCTTGCCAAAGATTCATAAATCTTTGATCAATCCCCCTGGGGGTCCTATAGTAGCGGGCATAGGTTCTCTTTTGTCTCCTCTTGCTAAATTCTTGGACCATTTATGAAGGCCTTTTTTAAAACATATAAAATCATATATTCAGGACACATTTGAAGTACTTGAAAAAATCAAAGATGTTACTGCAGAACAAGATTTAATATTAGTGACTTTTGATGTCACAAGCTTATCTACATCTATTCCTCATGATGATGGTATGGCCGCAATGGGTGAGGCATTTGTAACTTTGGGCTTCAGAGATCCATCTTTGTCATTTCTTCAATTATTAAAATTTGTAATGACTGATAATTATTTCTCCTTTGGAGAGGAATTCTTTGTTCAAGCTAAGGGAACTTCTATGGGTTCCAATGTGGCACCCACATATGCTGGCATCTATATGGCTAAATTGGAAGAAGATATTATATATAAAAATGAATTATACAAAAAACATGTTATTAGATGGTGGCGCTATATAGATGACGTGCTAGCTCTGTGGTGTGGCCCGTTGGAACTGTTGGAAGAGTTCTTTAAATTTTTAAATAGTTGTTCAGACAGTATTAAATTTACTATGGAAATGAATCAACATTCTATTGCGTTCTTGGATATTTTGATTGAGAAAAGTGGTGATAAATTTGAAACTAATTTATATAGAAAATCTTTGGATAGAAACACATTATTACACTATGATAGTTTCCATCCTGTGTCTATGTTCAAATCTATAACTAGAAGCCAATTTTTAAGGGTTAAAAGACTGGTCTCTCGAGTTGTTAGATCAACAATTAGATGACATGACTAAAAGATTCTGTCAGAGGGGCTATCCTATGTTGATGTTACAACCTCAATTGAAGTATGTCAGGGACGGAATGGAAAGTGTTGATTCTCAAAATAATAACTCAGATGGATTTGTCCATAAGGACATTGAAGATAGAATTAAAATCATCTCTAAATATAGTACTTTATCCTCTAGATTGAAACGATATTATCTGTGTGTCATCAGAATATTACTGAATTTTCTAATAAAACTCTGTTGGTACATAAAAGAGCTCCTTCACTAAGAGATAAGTTAGAGCTCAATTGTCCTCTCCTTTGAAAGATTATAATAGAAATGGAAGTTTTCCATGTTTGAATTGTATTTGCTGTAATTCGATGATTAAGGGCTCTACATTTACTCACCCTTACAAAGGGAACAAATATGCTATAAAATATGCTGTGACTCTACGTATGTTATTTATATCTTGAAATGTCCTTGTGGACTGATTTATGTAGGGCAAACAACACAGAAAATGAAAGAGATTCTCTAAACATAAATCTACAATTAGAACTAAAATGCTTGAGTTACCAATTCCATCTCATTTTATAGAAGCGAAACATAATATAACTCAATTAAAATTCCAAATCATTGAGCAAGTAGAAGAAAATTCAAGATGTGGTGATCGTATAAAAAGATTACTTCTCAGGGAGGCTTATTGGATTAGAGAATTGGGGTCTCTAACACCTATGGGCCTTAATCAAGAATACGATCTCAATCCATTCATTTAAATTGATATCTGGTCCTTTTATCAGTAAATTAAGTTTGATTAAGTGATTTACTTTTGTGATTTAATTTTTGTGATGTTACTTTAAATATAGTATTGTTCTATTGAAAGTAACAATAGATGATGAATTTGAAAATATATTTCTGTCAGTATCTTATTATCTTTGAATGGAATTGTTTATTATGTGTCATGTGGTGACCGTTTCAACTACTAGCCCTTTAATAAATTTTGAAAAAATTTAAAATGGAATAATTGTTTTGAGTAAAGATAAAAGAAGAATAAAAGCACTTTTGGGATTAATCAAGTTAACCCTATAATTCACAGATCTCAATAATATAGTATAGAGGTCTATTAAGTTAATACATTTTTTTACTTTATCTTTTTATAATACACTTTCACTTTAAGATATTTTTCTTATTATATATATATATATATATATGTTTTTCATATTTTTCATATATTTCATATACTTTATTTTTTGTATTTTTTCACGGTATTTTATTATTATAGTTTTTTGTCTAAGTGGGCATTAAATTGAGACTGTCACTTTAAATGGATTTTTGATGATTAATATGTTGATGATTTTTGTTTATAAGATGTTGCTGTAATTTATATAAATGACATTATTTATGTATGGGGTTGCCCTTGAGATCTTACTGTGTATCAGCCAGGTTTTGCTATATATGTTGCTATAATGTTGCAACTTTATTTGGTTTTACTTTGTTCCGGGTTAGGCAAGTCGCAAGTTCGTATTGCTGCGCATGCGCGTCAAGTCACCAGCGTGCGCATGCGCTGGTGGCTTTGCCCCTCTGACGCTCGCGCGTTTTCGTGCATGCGCACTGTGTGGGGCGGCTTATGTCGGCATACAACACTCGATGGTGAGCCGACATTTTCATAGCCTGAATAGATAATTAACAATTACGTACATATGACTATTATATAGCCATCAGCTCTTGATTATTATGTGTTTTTTTGTTTATTATTATTAGTAGCCTATGGAGCAACTTTATGAGCATGTGACTAATATACTACAATTGGCCAGCTGGTGTCACATGGTTATCATCATGTGATTTCACCTGGAAAAGTAGCTATCTAGAATCTCTTGCTGTCTTAGAAGGTAAAAAAAACACTATTGAACATAGCTGTTATATTATTTAACTGATTAGAGCTCAATGGTGAATTTGTGATATGATTGGTTGATACCTTATGATCTCTTTGACACCCCCTGATACTATGACTACTATTGGAGAGCGAATTAATTGCTTAATGTTATTATCACTTGTTTATAACATATGTTTGATAATATACCACATGTTTTTTCACTTATTTAAATATTGTATACACCTATATATTGTGTTTTTGTATGTGCTACATTAGCTTGAAAAAAGCCCTGTTAGGGCTGAAATGTTGCTTTGTAGTTCCTGGTCCAAATAAATTGCCTTAAGAATTGGAAACTATTGGAGTGTCTTGATCATTTTCTACAGAATTGTAGCAACTGACATTTAATGAGGATAAGTGCAAGATAATGCATCTTGGACGTAAAATCCCAAGGGCAGAGTACAGAAAATGTGATAGAGTCCTAACCTCAACATATGAGGAAAGGGATTTAGGGGTGATTATTTCTGATGACTTAAAGGTAGGCAGACAATGTAATAGAGCAGCAGGAAATGCTAGCAGAATGCTTGGTTGTATAGGGAGAGGTATTAGCAGTAGAAAGAGGGAAGTGCTCATGCCATTGTACAGAACACTGGTGAGACCTCACTTGGAGTATTGTACGCAGTACTGGAGACCGTATCTTCAGAAGGATATTGATACCTTAGAGAGAGTTCAGAGAAGGGCTACTAAGCTGGTTCATGGATTGCAAGATAAAAAAAAGGAAAGGTTAAAGGATCTTAACATGTATAGCTTGGAGGAAAGACGAGACAGGGGAGATATGATAGAAACATTTAAATATATAAAGGGAATCAACACAGTAAAGGAGGAGACTATATTTAAAAGAAGAAAAACTACCACAACAAGAGGACATAGTCTTAAATTAGAGGGACAAAGGTTTAAAAATAATATCAGGAAGTATTACTTTACTGAGAGGGTAGTGGATTCATGGAATAGCCTTCCAGCTGAAGTGGTAGAGGTTAACACAGTAAAGGAGTTTAAGCATGCGTGGGATAGGCATAAGGCTATCCTAACTATAAGATAAGGCTAGGGACTAATGAAAGTATTTAGAAAATTGGGCAGACTTGATGGGCCGAATGGTTCTTATCTGCCGTCACATTTTATGTTTCTATATGCTATGAGCTATGTCCACTGTGGCCCACATATTGACAAACATGTTTGGGTGGTCACGCCACTCCCTCATGTTACACTATTGGCAGCCTGACATTTGCGTCCCAATTTTCCCCTTAAAAGCAACAACCTGAAAGAGTCAGAGGTTTCATTCAGACTCAGGCTGGTAAGTAAAAATAATTTGGAAAAAAATATATCCCTTAATCCCATGTCACCATTCTTGCCAAAGATGGCACCAAGCTAGAAAATTATCATCAAACAATCTCACTTAATGGAGAAGTTTTTTTGGAGGGCCAGCTTGTTTAAGCACCTTTATAGAAGGTCAAAACTAAACTGGAAATTCCAGTAGGAGAAAATATTTAGTGAGTATGTTTTGTTGCAACAGATTTTATGCAACAAAAGTATATCAAACATACCTGCATATTAAATGTTAAGAACAAGTAGCTAATATTCACTTACATGAATCATTGTAACAAAGATCCTCTCCTTTTCCGCAATACTGCTTGCCTTTAGTCCGTAAATTGGCACGGACGGGATTATCAAGGCTGGGTTGAAGGATAAGACCAAAAATCTGCTTCCCCGTCCACAGTGTCACTGGCTAAAAAAAATGGAAATCAATGAGGAAAAAAAAAATTAAACTTTTTCTCTCTAGCACAACTTGCTATACCTATATGTTACTTGACAAAAGCATACCTTGATAATGGTAGGAGGAGGGAGTCGAACTTTAATCTTCTCATCTTTCCCCACCAAAATGGAAGCAATGATTTGACAGGTCTTTGCGCGGTCAAAAAATGTGTCCTTTGATGTGATGAGGTAGGCAGCTGGTGATGGAGAGGTTAGTAGTGTGATAGATATTATTGGATATTGCATAGAGAACTACAGAATATGAATTATTAAATCATTAATTGCACAGACCTGTGAGAAAATCCTGGATGGCTGCTATCAGCGGTTCTCCATTCCTTGGTGTTACAAGGTTGGCTTTAGTCTGAAACAAGTGCAAAAAATACATTTTAATTACCCAATACTAAAAAAAAAAATAAAAAAAAAAATGACATCACTAGTGAAAGGAAAAATACATTTAGTCCTAAAAGCCCATTATAGTTTGCCAGGAATTACTGAGCAAAAAACCCAAAACACAACTCTAACCATTAAACAAATAAATAAAAAGTACAACTAAAATCATGACTGCCCACTAACAACATCCTGCAGGCAGATACCAACATGGTTTTAGAAGACGAAGTACAGTCTCATCTATTAATAAATTTTACACTTGCGTTGTAAAGGGGTTTCCCATTATACAGACTTACATTACTGCAGAGGAGCCTTAATACAGGGTCAAGAGCTACAGATATGGACCCAAAAACCTCTCTGGCGGTAACCCCCTACAACTCCACTTTCACTACTGCCCATATAAATGCACAGATAAAAAATGAATAAAAAGGGAAGAACTGACCAGTTTTGGAAAGTGCCTTTAAACTCAACAGTCATAATCAATTTTCTGAGGAACACAGTACAATCTACTCTGTAATTATCTAGTCAGAATTACTTACTCCCATTAACACGTAGGCTTCAGCCTTGGCTTCCTCTGTCTGGGGCAGATGTAAATTCATTTCATCTCCATCAAAATCAGCATTGTAAGGGGTACAGACACATTCATTGAAGCGGAATGTCCTGTGTGGTTTAACACGGGCCTGCAAAGATAAAACAAAGTGCACAGACGCAGACAGTTTATGCATTTGGCATGTTTTTTCCCCACAAATTGCAGTGTTAAAAAAAGAGCCCAATTCATAACTCAAACATTTGAAAAGGCTTGCTTCATATATCGCCCTAGTAAGCGATACACTGACAGAGCATTCTCAAGCCTTCTGCCATCACTTCTGTGCTTGCAGTTAACTGCAAAAAGTGCAGAATATATTAAATATATTAATATTAAATATGCATATTCATTGCGGTCACTCACAATATGAGCCATGATGCTGAGCTTGTGCAGAGAAGGCTGTCTGTTAAAGAGAACTATATCTCCATCTATAAGGTGCCTCTCCACAACGTCTCCGAACCTCAGTTCCTGAGCAATCTTCTCACGATTTCCATACTTCAAGAATCTACCCAATAATAATGGACAAGACAGAACAGTCAGTGCTTATGTATTCACTATATAAACATTCCATTAAAACCAAGTCAATGGGGATTAATATGTCCTTACTACCCATGACGTTGAGGCATATGTTCTGGTGGCCTGATGAGATTACGAGTTAAATAGTGGCCAGCATATCTCAATTACTCACAGGTGGCTGGAACTGGAGAACTCTAATTCCAAACTGTGGCAGCAGGAATATATAGGTTTAGAACATTCTATCATCACCCAAGCACGTCTATTTGTGCCTTTAGATGCATCACATAGCAGGCCACATCTGACCACCCAAAACCAGTCAAGACAGAATAGCCAAAACATTATTATTAGATTAATCCCAAATTGTAAAACCTTGGAACATAGTAAAGCATGTCTAGCAATGGGGATTACATATAAACATAATTTCAATTCCATAACACTGTTGTATAGGAGTTTACACAACTGGATATAATACAAATAAAAAAGGAACCTCTTCATCTGGGTGTGTCTCTGCTGAATGAAGTTGGCTCCCGGATGAACGTCTGGCCCACTCTGCACTAATTTCCGCATAAAGTGGATATTTGCCTTGTTTACCTATACAAAGCAGAAAGGAGAAGAATGAAAATCTCATCCACATTATCCATTTTGGTCAAAAATAGAGCAATAGAGCAAGTATGTGATGGTTTTGTAGGGATTCTCAAACTAGAATCACTTTAAAAGGACAGAGTTAGCAGTAGTATGATTGAGCACTAGAAAACTATTTAATTGTAGCCTTAACAGGAGAGTAAATGTGTATTCTACATCCCCAAACACAGTCTTACGTAAAGGGTGTGACTTTTCATGACTGGGGAAAAACCCCCAAAAAACAACGTTTTATCTTCTTGGAATGTGAAGTGTATAAGCTACATGTGTTTGGTTTTTTTCCATTTGTGCCATTATGTTATATCAATATTTACAATTACAGACTGAAAGAAAAAGCCCTGTCAGCACTCACCTTTTCGGGAAAGGTCAATATTTTAGCTACATGGACAGGAACAGCAACTTCGTCAATTCTGAGATTTGGGTCAGGAGAAATCACAGTACGTCCAGAGAAATCTACTCTCTTACCAGAGAGATTTCCTCTGAATCGACCTGAAAGAGAATGGGTGGTCAAAGTGACACTGTAAGGAACATTTTTTTTTTTTTTCTCCCCTACCATAATTTATTTACTAAAAGTGAAAGTCATGCACACAAGAAATGAATGCCGTTTGGTTTTTTTTCCCATATGGGTAAACTTTTCAGGGGATGTATGAACATATTTAAAGGGATTAGGCTCAATATTTCCATCCATAAATCGACCACGGGAAGGGTAAGTTACATTTTTCTTTGTCCACCCAACACATAGAGCCACTGGATGCCACACAGAGCTGTGCTTCAGCAAGTAACACTCAGCTCATCTTACAGGACCCTTGCACTGTTATCCACTCTTAGGATGAAATCGCGGCATCTAACATCACTGCAGCATGGCAACAAGGATGTACTTTTTGAAATCTATGTTCTATTTCAAGTTTGTAACAAATCTCAAAATTACAAAAAAAAAATCCCTGGCTCTGGGCTCTACATGGTACCTTTTAACTCATTACACTCTCTCTCCTTATTTTTATTTTTTATTTTTGTTTTTTACTGAAGAAGTTTTTCACCAGACCAGCATGGTTGTTGTAACTTATAACTAGGAGGCTATACGTACATGTCATTTTAATTACTGGTTTTGGTTTTAAGCTATGTGTCACACTGGATATGTGTGCATCTGTTTCTTCATTTAAATTTAAATGAAGCATCAGACAATGTTGTAGCAGACAATTATAGGGAGACAGATTAACATCAAGCACATTTACAGCTGTAGAGATGGTGACATTCTTACAAACAAATGTTTAATGAGAATGTCTGAATGTTCACAAAACATATGTTTTATTTGAATGTGACCACGATTTGCATGTTTACTGTGGCAAAGTGTCAGGCACCAAAATCAAGCATTAAATCATCAAAACTGTTTAATCCCTAAATGAAGACACCCCTGCCCTCAAAATAGCTTAATTAAGCTAAAGTTATTATGAGGATGGGGTGTGCCGTTAATACCATAAGTTCACTAATATGTTTTGCTTGTAAGTTGTAAAGTAAAAAAAAATAAAATAAATAAATTACAAGAAAACCCCAACAAATTAATAGAATACACGCAGCCCATGTTCATCAAAAAATTCTACAGTTTATTATTAAACGGTGGGGTGCAGCTTGGACGGTGCAGAGAGTGGTTGCATATCTACGGATTCATTGGCTAAAATACCTAAAATCATTACCAGCGCTGCCGCAATCCGACGCCATGGGGAAAAGCTCCAAAAAGCTTAAGACCCTCTTGGGGACGGTAACCAGAGCATGTGCAACTCTTTCAAGCGAGGCCTAGGCCAAAGCAGCCTGAAAATCCCAGCTCATCCTCCGAGGAGGAATTGTTGGATGCTCTTGACCCTATACCGGAGGCTGAACAGCCGGCAACTCACCTACAGACAGAGCACCAGACGGCCCCAGCTACATAAGGCGACATCATGGACCTTATGGTCAATATCCAGGACCTTTTTCGAGCAGATCTAGTGGGGGTCCAAGAGGAGGTAGTAGCTATTGCTGACTGGGTTAAAGCAACAGAGGAGGACATCTCCTCCTTATCGCAATGCTGGTGCTGTGAAACAAATAACGTGAAACAGCTTCACACGTCATACAAGGCCATGAAGAAACGGCTGTACGATGAGTGACAGCGCAATAATCTTAAATCTGAATTGTTCCTCACTGAGCGGGCTTATAAAGCACAAGCCTCTAACACAGCTACAAACACCTTGTGGACATGCGGAAGGTAGCTTCCTTCATCTCCTGCTCAGAAGTGGACAATGGCTGACACTGGCTGGACTCTTTTTCATTATATTTTCTTTGATTTCTATTTTTAGCCGTATCTGGCTTTACCTTAATACACAGTAATTGTAGGATTTTATGATCCAATCTGCTGTTTCATTGCAATATGTTCTCGCCTTATTACACAACTAATCTTAATATGCCAGACACCCCCCACCCCCAGGGATCCCAGTGAAAAAGTATTAGGACCTGTTTGCAGGATTCCTCGAGCCCTGGGATAAAGCAAGAGAGCTAGGTCTGAGAGCCGCAAGTGTCTTTTTAAAGATAAGAGCTATAATATTGCAGGTGAATGTGAATACATGCCTGGAAGAGGGGCTGCAGTGTATGAGGCAGAGGGGACGATACCTGCCTGGAAGGAGAGCCCTGGTTGGGTGGAAAAACTCCAGAAGTACCCCAGTCAAGCTTTGGCGACTTGAAAGCAAACTGATGGAGCTCCTGTACTCCGACTGAGTACCTCCGCCCACACTACATTTATAGTCATTTAGGGGACAAACTATTCACATTGGCATTCAATCAGTTTTTTAATAGTCCACTACTCTGCCAGGCCTCTCTTGGTGTTACTAAATTGGTACGCACCACGACTATCACTCCCAGGACGCTCCATGGGGCACTATGGGTTCTCACCGACAACACTCAACCCCAGTATACATTTTTATTATACAAAAACCGTGCAATTTCATCCCATGTTGTGATGCTGTATGTTATGCATTGTCTGCATATGCTATCATGGCAATGCGGGCTTGTTGTAAACCTTTTGCACATCAAAAATAAAGAAACACCCACATACCTTCGACATACTCCTTACGTGTTATGCTTTTTGGAAATTGATCTGTTTATTACCTGAAGCCCTATAATCGGGGGTATGAACACTCTGTTTAACATCATCTGCTCGGCATTGTGGGGGTCACCAATATGGCGACCATTTACGCCTGCATATTATTTCGGTCCCTATCAGCATAGCTAGAGGCTTTACTGATGATGTCAGGATTGGGTGGTTCACTCAGCATGATACTTTAATCTTAGACTCTCAGCTGACAGACTTACTCTCTCTTGGAACAAGCATTACATAGTTATGTATCACCAGGTCAGGATAATTACTTGCATAGTATTAATAGCTATTGTGTCTTGCGTTATCACCTATAGGTATAGCAAGTTAGTATCCTGAGATGCGTAATGTCATCCCTTAGTGTTTCAACATTAATCGTATTGTCACAAGCTTAGCTTCAGTAAAACGTGTACCATGTCTAAGACTTTGCATAGCCTAGTATTACTCTCTTAATAGTCTATGTAGACAGGCACTTTTTCTGTCTATAATATGTTTTCGTTAGACATAAAACCAAAAATGAGGCATTACAAAACAGGAAATGTAATCATCAATGTTAACGATGTATTAACCCTTTATTGTTTACCACTCGTACATTTCCCTCTCTTTATTCTGTAACCCATTTCGCTTGCCTTAATAAAAGAAAGATTGACAAAAAAAATAAAGAATTCAAAAAATAAGTGTTGTGAAGATGAAGTCAGAATAGCTCACCTTGCTTTCCCTTCAGCCTCTGGACAAACCCACGTGTCCATTTCTTGGGAGCCATATTCATAGGGATTCCTGAGAGCTCGCTGTTTATGTACAAAGCACACTGCAGCTGCAGAAAATCCCAATCCTCCATAATCATTTGGGTCTTGGCACCCGTCATCCTGTGCTACAAGGAGATAAAAGCAAAAAAGCACTTCAGCAGGTAACTAAAGGTTACCTCTGTCTTATTTAACAAAAGTAAAACATGGACAGAGAACAACACTTTTAAAAAAGTTCTTGGATGCACCCTCCATCTGTCATCCAGCTAGTATAGCTTTCTGTCTTATTCACATATTCATTTAAAGCAAGCATGTCAAACTCAAAGTGTGGCACAGGCCACACTTACAAGGTTTATGTTTATGTGGGCCGCACACACACACACTCGCTGACAGACACACACACTTACAAACACATACTTTTCTTTATTGCTCTCTACCTTATGGAGCCAATGGGGGGCATCTCCCTGGGGTCCTTCCAGCTCCTCACTGCTCCCGCACGCGGTTTAGTAATGCCGGAATATGACGTCATATTCCAGTGCCCGGCTTCACTTTAGTCGGCGCGTGAGGAAGCAGTGAGGAGCTGGATCACTAAGCTCCCTTGCTGCAATCACCTTCCTCTCCTCCTCGGCCGGGTAAATGATAGAGTAGGCACCTGCAATGTGGGGAAAGCAGGTGCCTACTCTGCTATAACAGTAGCATGTTCTCGCGGCTCACCGGGCTGCAAAGATGGTCCTTGTGGGCCGCGAGTTTGACATGCTTGATTTAAAGCTTCTGTGGTTGTTCAGGTGCTTGGAGTGTACCTTTAACATATTTAGAAGTAAACCAAATAAAGAACTACTCATAAGTAAAGCTATTAATAAGATCAATGATGTTACTCAGATATTTAGTCAAGGCAAAGTGAGTCTAGAAAGTACCATCTTGAAGATATTTGGTATATAGATTGTTACACGTTTTAGAATCAGAGATTACTCAATAAGATGATGCATGTTCTACATGGTGGTTTCTAATGATTTTCTTTAATTTTGGATTTATCGGAATCATTAAATAAGGATATGTAGGGACCCCAAATATGGCTAAAACATTTTACTGGGTGCTCAAGATTGGTGACTACGTGCAGCAATTCCATTCAAAACAAAGCAACTAGCTCATGCAGAAAAAATAAATACATTCAAATAAATAAAAAAAATGCATTAAAAAGTCTATGTAAAAATAACAAGAATTGCACTGGATGACTCACCTTCTTAATTACATCATTTAAAAATATGATCTCTGTCAGTTTCATGGTGAGGTCATCTTCATTGGTGCCAGATTTGAGGTCACTCACAACAGATGGGCGAATGCAAAGTGGGGGAACCAGAAGTCGAGTCAGGATCAGGTCACAGGGCCTTGCTGCATCTGGATTCATGAGCAGTAATGGAACATCTTCAGCAGGAATACGTCTCAGTATGTTAAGCACTACGAGTGGGTTCAGGTTCTCCTGTAAGAAACAAGACAAGCTTCAGACGTTAGTATCTAAGGTGCTTCTAAAGTGACAAATTCTTTGTCCGTTTAATCCTATATACATTATTCAAAACATATGCAAAAGTAAATAGAGTAAAATAACAACTGAATTGATTTTCACGGTCTGTATTTTTGTAATTGAATGAAATTGAAAAAAAATATGAAATTAGAAAAAATACATAAAGATTTTCAGATCCATGAATTAGATCAATAGAGGTCCAGAAAAGTTTTGAATCCGGGCAAGGGAGTGGGTGAGAGGTCACACAATATCAGTTTTGATTGCTAGATAGTGCTGTATGCTCTCCTTCTCTAGCCTAGCCTAATTAAAGGGACCTTGGAACTGGAGTGGCAAGGAAATAAACAGACAGACAATCTCACCTGTGCCCGTGCAAGTAGAGGCTCCACTTCTTTATTATGCTCTATGGCCGTCTCAAACGACTGCAGAAAGTGAGAAACAACTGTATCCACCACCTTTTTTGTGCTCTTGTACTTCTCATGAATGATCTTCAGCAAGCCACACTTCTTCACTGAACCTGGTAAGAGACCAGAGATTAATTTTAACATTAACAAGAACTCACCTGCAAATGCAGAATTAGAAAAAAAAAAACTCAACAGGCAAATTTAACCAAATTAGTGTTGTTTTTTTATAGTTTCTTCGAACTCTGGTAAACACTATTCTGTGAACATAAAATTACCAATAACTTCCACATAGTTTCTCACCATTGAAAGCCCCGCAGAATAGACAAGTTGTTTTTTTACGGCATTTTTCTGAAATTTTCTTCTTCAGACCTCTTTTCTGAAGGTAAGTAAGACCAGGTCTCTTCAAGTTGTCAAGGAACTGTTTCCGCTCTTCTACAGTCAACATGATATGAGAGCATGTCTTGCATATCATCTAAGGGAAGATAGTAACATGAAAACTGTGCAATCTATTCACCATGAGTATAGATACCTGCCATAAATATTCTAGTCACTTAAAGCATTTATGTACTAGGGAAAAAGCCTAATCAGACTCCTAAAAAAGACTGGACATACCCCATTTTAAATACCCTGGGTTGTCTACTTTTGCAGATGGTATGCCATGATGGGTATAATTTTCATTCCTGAGCTGCCATACGGTCTCAAAGGCAATATAGGCCCAGCAAATGAATATGGCAAATTTTAACGTGTAAAAACTGAAATGGGCAAGCTCTCTATTTGACTCTGTAACTTTCCAAAACACAATGAAACCTGTACATGGGGTTGATCACAGCATACAAACGTGTATTTTTTGCACTAAAAGTGGACAGCATTATGACTTTCACAGTTAAAATGGACAATTACCTCTGTCCTTAAGGGGTTAATGCTGAATGGAAGGATGACAGCAGGGACTGCAGACACTATACACCCTTACGTAAGCAAGAATTGTGAATGTACTTACCTGTAATATGCCAATCACAGCTTTGAAATACCCAACATGGAAGCAAGGTAATTCAAGGTCTAGATAGCCATAGTGCCCCAGGCAATCTGCCAGGTTCTTTCCACAGGTTAGACAGGGTCGGTCCTTTTCACTTGTTCCCTGAATCACAAAAAAAGTATACAAAAACACTTGTGACATGTTTTTCACATATATACACACGACTGAGCACTGGTGTATATAAAAATGTCCCAGTGCTGTCTGGGATTGGTGAGCATTAAAATGTGCCACCTACTGCTCAGGAGTTTAACTCCTACTCATTCCAGGCAGATTGGAACATATAGTTTTTGTGGGAAATTATGGAACCTAAATATTGGTAAACCATGCATTATTCTCTTTTATTTTGGGGGAATACATCTGTCTAATGAACTAACGCACAGATCAGAAAAAACACACATCCAATAAGGTTTCTCAATCCTATCTCCACATTAAAAATGCTGGTTAACTTTTAAAAGGTATATAAACATGCTATTTGTGTTTAAAAACGTCAATAAGCACAGAGCTTTATCCTACATTTAATTTTAATTCAGATTTCATTCTTATAGTTCTTTCTCTAATAATTCTCCACACACTTAAATCTTCACTTCCCTGAAATCTTAAAAACACACCAATCCTGCAGTTATCCATTTGGCAAACTCTACTATGTTTTCATAATAAAATACTCATTATCACTATGGTATAGTCGATTCTTGTCAAACCCTGAAACCCAGGATACTGATGGCCTACAACACCCAAAAGTCTTCAAATGCCATAGATGGCGAGAGAAACATGGGAGTTGTAGTTCAGCAAAATCAGGGTTGCCAGAGTTAAATATGCCTGCCCTAAGGGATTCCTGGTTGCACAATGCCTGCTACTGGGGTCGTTGGTCCTAAAATATACTCAGGCCTCATACCACGATTGGGATACAAAAGGTTTACGTACTACAGCTATAAACCAGTAAGGTTCATAGGAATACAAAAAAAAAAAAAATTGAGATTGCAACTCTTTTCTCATGTGTATTAGTGTATTTCAGTCAAATTGTGGTTTAAATACACTATTAGGTGTAAAATATAGCATTATAGACTAACGTCAATAAGAACAATAAAAAAAGAGCTTTGCAACAAACAGAATGATCACCATCTAGTGGCTGAACAAAACATTACATAAACATAAAATAAAGCCCAACCAAACTAAATTTTTCTTTAGAAATCAATATTTTCAGACATTTGCTACATAATGATCTATTATAGCATAATTGAATAAGGCTTACCATGCGGTGATCTAGAACGCCAAATGGAAGGGGTGAATGGTTATTGTCTTGGCTGTACAAACTCTTGCTCACCACCTGAATGTGAGCCTGTTGTCGCATCTGCTCTGCAGACTTCACCCCGAAACAGATGTGGCTTCTGATGTAGCATTAACAGGAGAGACAATCAAATTAATGACAGAAGCTTTTCAATCATCACATCTACAGAATATTCTGAAAGTAGTAGAAACCCAATCCAAATGCCAATTTGACAAGGAACTGACATTAGCCAGCAAGGGACTGGCTAATGCCACTGCCAGAAGTTACATCTCCAGGAGCCATGATGTTAATTTCTATATGGGGAACATTCTGAAGCAAAATGCTGCACATACAGACTCCAGTCACCATGACTACTTCAAATCACTGAAGTAGTCATGGTGCTTGGGAAAACCCTTTAAGTAAAAGACAAGATAAAACCGTACACATGATACACAGACAGAAGGAGCACACATACACTTCATACAGCCAGCAATCCATATAGATTGCACACACATGCACATTAAAGAGAGCCAGCACAGTCTGTATACACACTACACACAACAAGCATGCATATCACATTATGGCAGGAACAGATGGAGAGACACTAAGGGGGCAGTGGTTTAGAACGCAACATCCACGATCTAGGAAGGGGCATTAATCTAGCCAGAAAAAGAAGCTTAGAGGGCCACTAGAGTCCCTTGAACAGATAGATATTTTTTGTTTGTTTTAATTCCCATGCCTCTGATAGCAGTTCTCCAAATTCTGAGCAAAGCTGTAAAATGATTGTGTGAATTTAGGACCAGTAGTCAATCAAACACGAAGTAGTGGTTTTTAAAGGGTTACTCCAAGCTCCATGACCAATTTAGTGATTTGAAGTTGTCATTGTGCCTAAAGTCTGTAATAGCAACCTTTCGCAATTAAACACTACACATTCCAATTTAAATCCCCCTGCTGCCAGAGGTGTAACTCCACCTCCAGCAGCATCATTGGGGTGTTATTAGCCTGCCCAGAACAAGAGTTTGGGGTTGGATAATATCAATTCTGTGCATATTTGAATGCCTGTCGTTAACATTGATAGCATGCCATGTCCTCCTCCGGCTACATCCCTCTCCTGGCAGCTAGGGAGAGTGACATCAGCAGAGAAGGATTGGGCTGAGTGGAGAATTTGGCCTTGGAGCTGAAAAAGAGGATAGTTTATCGTTTGTTTATTTCTTTATTGGAATTAGGGATGGACACATCAGGATAACAAGGTAACCAAAACAAGTACTTTGTTTTTAAAGGGACACTAAGCTAAAAAACAACTTTAGCTTCATGAAGCAATTTCAATGTATAGATCATAACCCTGCAGTCTCACTGCTCATTTCTCTGCCATTTATGATCTAAAACACATTTACTTTTGTTTATGCAACACCTCCTCTGGCTGTGATTCACACAGTCAACATGAAAAATAGTTTCATTTCAAACTGTAGGTCACATGCAGGGGGGTGAGACTAGGGCTGCATAAATAGAATTGTTTAACGGCTAATATTTAACTCCTAAAGCGGCAGAGGATTGAGCTTAGACTGCAGGGGCATGATCTATACACAAAATCACTCCATTAAGATGACGTTTTTTTGTGTGCTTAGAGTGTCCCTTTAAAACACTGGATTTTGGTTGGAGCTACCAAGGGTTACTAAAAGCACCATAACCACTTTAGTGAAGTAAGCATGGTGACTGAGGTCTGTATGAACAAGCTTTCTCTTTGAAATGCTGCAAATTTGGAGCTTAACCACTCTGTTGTTAAACGTGTAACTCCACCTCCAGCAGTGTCATCAGCTAGCCTGAAACAAGAGTTCCCAGCTGGCTAATGTCAATTCTATGCAACTTTCATTGCACTAATTGGCTGAGAGTAGTTAGCCAGGGCTTCTGGCTTTTGCAGCCCTTCAGAAGTGCATCACCAGGGAGCATGAGACCCCAGAAGGAACCCAGATAAGTGGGGAAACTGTTGCTAAAGAGATTGCCACATTAACAGGGAACTGGGCCAGAGTACTACTGGCACCATAACTACAACAGCGGGCTGGAATGATGATGATGCTTGGAGTAACACTTTAACATTTCATCAATGTAATCTCTGATACCTGACAAAGTATTTCAAATCAACCAAATGCCAATCTGGATACTGCACTGCATTCTGTTCTTTCTTGACAAATTTCATAACCATCAACAAGTTAAATTCAAGTAAATTTGCCATACTATTTAATGTTTTATGATTAGAGTCTACCATATTTGCATTCAATACCTTTAGTGTATTGATCACTATGTACTTGTCAGTAGTATATTGCAGTGTTCATCATTCACCACTCCAAACATGCCATATTCATCACACACCTTTGCTTTATAAACTATAATATTAATTCATTTGATGCATTAGTTTCATTTCCAAGAATTGTGATGTGTACCTTAAATAACATTTTGTAAAGGCATAGGGGCTTTTACCAATTAAACCATTATAAAAGCACTGAAAAATACAACTTGCATTTTGGATTTTATGGTCCATATCCTGAATAACATCACTTATTTTTTATTTATATATTAATCTTTCTATTAAGATACTATGTACATGTAAAATACGGTCAGTCTGGGACCCAATTAATAAATACTATTAAATATTGACTGTGGTGTTTCAGCATAATAGCATGCAGTGTATGAAGCTGTCATCTGGTTTAATATTATTTAATAATTGCATTAGGTTTGGAATCACTCACATCTTTTTGGCCACATCCGTCTCCCTGAATTGTTCCTTCATATTGTTACTTGCTACTATACACCTATTACAAAATAAAGTCAAACAATCCTGATACACGTGAACTGCACAGTTTCCTTAGGATCTGCACTTATTTTGCCATGCTGTATGTATCACTTCCGGGACACCTTTCAACTCTACCAGTGAGTACGCAATTGGTGGTAGAAAGCAAGAGCTGAGTATCATAGCGTTCTACTGATAGTCACAGCGCCACCTCAAGGCAAACTTATAAACAACAATAAATGATTATTTTAACCCCTTAAGGACCGGACTGTTTTTTGCGATGTTGTACATTTGCGACCAGGCATCTTTTTAACACTTTTGTGGTGTTTGTGTTTAGCTGTAATTTTCCGCTCTCTCATTTACTGTTCCCATACAAATTATATATTGTTTTTTTTCAGGGGAAAAGGGGCTTTCTTTACATACCATTATTTATATAATCTCATGTAATTTAATTTTAAAAAGAAATTAAAAAATATGATGAAAAATTGAAAAAAATAATTTTTTTTTACTTTTACTTGAAAAATCTTTTGCCACTTAGTCGCAAACACTGGCCAAATTTAGCGTTTATATTTGTTTGTGTGTGAAAAAAGTAAAAAACTAAATTGAACGCTAATTTTGGCCAGTGTTTGTGACTAAGTGGTTACTAACAAAGACTGGACATACCCCATTTGCAATACCTTGGGTTGTCTTCTTTTGCAAATGGTATGCCATCATGGGGGTAATTCTCATTCCTGGGCTACCATACGGTCTCAAAGGCAACGTAACCAACCTGGCCATTTTCAATGTAAAAATATTTGACCCGTATATTTGACCCTGTAACTTTTAAAAACGCCATAAAACCTGTACATGGGGGGGTACTGTTATACTCAGGAGACTTTGCTGAAGACAAATATTAGTGTTTCAAAACAGGAAAACGTATCACAACAATTATATCATCAGTAAAAGTGCTGCTTGTGTGTGGAAAATGCAAAAAAGTCACTTTCATTGACAATATCATCGTTGTGATATGTTTTACTGTTTTGAATCACTAATATTTGTGTTCAGCGAAGTCTCCCAAGTAGAACATTACAGGCTAAAATACAGTGCTAGCAAATTAAATTCTCAGGACTTTTGGCCTGGGTTGGCAGGCAGGTCCCTCAAATTGCAATCAATAAAATTACTTAATTATGTAAAAATATTACATAAATACGCACGTAGAATTTAAATATATATGCATATTTATATATTTGAAGTCTACGTGTATATTTATATAATTATTTATGTCATTTTGTATATGGACATATGTATATTTCGTATTATTTTTATTTATTTATATATATATATATATAGATATATATACAATTTCATTCTAAGTGTATTTTGATATAAATATATATATATATATATATATAAATTACTATCAAAATACAGTTAGAATAAAATTTCATATAGATATATAATTTAAATTACTTATTATTTGTATTTGTATGTACATATTAATATAAAAATACACTTAGCATGACATTATATATATGATATATAGACATATATTATATAGATATAATATATGTCTATATATCATATTTATATACACATATATAATTTTTTTTTTTTTTATTAACATGTACCTTTATTATTTTTTGTTATTTTACACTAGCAGAGAGACTACCTGTCAGCACAGGCAGTCCCCCTGCAGGAAGACACATGGACACCTATTGTGACCATGTGATCGCTCTGTTGAGCGATCACATAGCCACAGCGGTCCTAATCCGCCGCGGGAAGACTGACTGGGCTGACCGAAGTGCAAGCGTACGTACTGTCCACCACCGAACAGCCAGCACACGAAAGACCCCCTGCAGCAACCGTTATCCAGGAAAGTAAAGCCAAAATACCATATGGGGCATTTAAAGACTATGTGGAGGCAAATGAAGACATAGATGGCATTCTACAGGACTTCGAGCGGCTGTGCCATCTATACCAGGTCAGTGAAGATGATTGGGCGCCGCAGCTAGCTAGCAGACTGACTGGAAGAGCCGCTGAGGCATATTGGGCAGTCCCGAACGAGGACATTCAGAACTATGCCGGGTCAAGGCAGTGATACTAGCCAGGTATGCAATAACTCCTGAGGCATACTGCAGACAATTCAGGGACCTAGGGAAGGTCAAAACGATTCCCATAACGAGTGGGCATGTTGGCTCCACAGGGACGACATGGCATAGGTACAAGCCCACCAAGTGAGCACCATGGAGGGACTATTGCAATTATAACAATTTTATAACGGATTATTTCCTGACATACAAGAGTGGGTAAGAGACCAAACCCCACCAACCTCACAGAAGCAGCAAGACTGGCGGACAAATATGCGGATGTCTGCCGACCCCAAAGGCCAACGCCGCAAAATGTTTTTACCAGGCCAACTCTACCTCCTCCGGCACCCATGTTACAACCTCGAAGCGGAGTCACTTACAACTCCATGTCACCCCGGTTTCCAAACCAAAATAACATGCAGTGCCACCTATGCAAGAAGATAGGGCACATGAGGAGAGACTGCCCACAGAACCGGGTCCTGCACAGTATATTCGCTCCAGACCCACTCCACTGAACTGGGTGGCCGCTCACTGCTACCAGTCTGAGACAGCCACCTACCGTTCGGTTCCTGAAAAACAGGAAAACTGGAGAACCCTTCATGAAGCAGACCCGATACAAGCGGCCACAGACAACCAACAGCACCACCAGCAGTCCGTACATCTACAAGGAAGGGAGCTGCAGGGGCTGAGAGACACCGGAGATACACTCACCCTAGCCCGTAGGCACCTGTACCAGAGTCAGCACAGACGGGAAGCTCCGTGGCCATTCGGGTAGCAGGGGTAGCCATCTACCAAATACCTACGGCCCGGGTTCATTTGAATTGGGGTGCGGGGCCAGAAATGGTAGAAGTGGGGTTGATGCAGCACTTGCCATCCGAGGTGCTACTCAGTAATGACCTGGGTAGGCTCACCTCCACCTTTGAGCCACCAGCCCAGACTGCAGAGTTATACCCGGTGACCACCAGACAGCAAGCCGGCACCAAGGACCGTTGTTCACCTCCAGAGGCTCAGGTAAGGACAGATACCCTGACCCTAGAGATTCTCCCCAGGATACCCCGTCTGATTTTGTGAGGGAGGTAGTCATGGACCCCACCCGATACCCAAAAACGGTGGTGTTGAGCAACATCCATGCAGAAATGGTTGCCTAAGCCCTGATGCAAATGTTCTCCCGAATGAGTTTCCCTCGAGAGATAGCTTTGGATCAGGGCTCCCAATTTACCACAAATGTCACCCACCAACTTTGGAAGCTCTGAGGCATCAAGTCAATTATGAGCTCCCCTACCATCCCCAAACAAACGGCCTGTGCGAACGGTTCAATGAGACATTGAAGCAAATGCTCCAGACGTTCGCGTCCACTAGCAGTGACTAGGAAAGTTTCCTGCCGCACCTCCTATTTGCATACTGGGAGGTGCCATAGGAATCACCGGGTTCTCTCTATTTGAACTGCAATTCGGGAGACGGGCCCCCTAGACCTCATTAGAGAGCACTGGGAAGGGAATGTCAGCCAGGACGGGACCTCCATAGCCCCATATGTGCTGGAGTTTTGTGATCGCCTGGAGAGCTGACCCAAACTGTGCGAATGAACCTCCAGAGCCACCAGCACGCATGGTATGATCGGGGAGCCAGGGACCGCTACTTTCAGGTGGGACAGAAAGTTCTAGTTTTAAAACCTATTCACCATGATAAACTGCAGGCTGCCTAGCAGGGCCCATGCAAGGTGGTAGAGCAGAAATGCGATACCACCTATATGATAGGCCCTTGCTCTGGAGCAGGAGGGCGATGCATGCGTAATGTGAACATGCTAAAACCCTACCACGAAAGAGCGAAGGAGGTGACAGCGATCTGCGTCCCTGCCTCAGAGGACTTCGATAACATTCCCCTACCCAACCTCCTGGGGGACGGAAGTCAGACAGGTGAATTAGAGGTGGTCAAGTTAGAACGACTGAGCCTTCAGGAGAGTATCCCGGTACAACAAATACTCAAAGTCAAGAGAGTCACCTTTTCGAATGCACCCGGGTACACACCACTGGCCACTCACTGGGTGGAAACCCCAGGTCAGTTACCATTAAGGCCACCTCCCTACTGAGTCCTCGAATCAGTATGGGAAAGTGTCAGCCCTCTTCCACTTACTTTATCGGTCCGCCAATCTGCTGACGCCCGGATCGGTTGGACCGCCACTCCCACACTGGGAGATGCTCCACTCACCCTCAGGGACACCGGCCGCTATGTGCCCGCCCCTTTTAATGACGAGGTCATGGAGTCAGGAGAGCTCTCTACAGCAGAGCTCAGTGCACACGTACCTTTTGGGGGTGTGGCTATGCTAACCACTCCCCCAATGATATAAAAGTCCAGCATGCCCTAAACACAGTGCCCTGTTGTGGTTCCTAGTGTCCCTTTAGTGCATTCTTGTAACCCTTTTGTGATAGTTCTTTAGTTTTGACCTGGCTTGCTCTCAACTATTCTGATTTCTGGTTTCCCTGACTCGGCTTCGTTCCTCGTTATTGTGTATTTCTGGCTTCCTTTGACCTTGGCTTGTTTCTGACGTTTCTTGTAGTTATCTCTTTTATCCAGCCATTCTAAGGACCGGCTTAGGGACTTTCTTTCTGTCTCTATTTCTACTGGTGGTTGTCACGCGTGTTGGGTTTAGTATTATAGAAAGTATGCGTAATGAGATTAAAGAGCAGCTCCGACTGGGGGTGATCAAGTCATCTGACAGCCCCTGGGTCTCCCCACTAGTCCTAGTCCCGAAGCAGGACCGCACGACCCACTTTTGCGTGGATTAGGTTAGAAGACAAGACTGTGTCAGACGCCTATCCTACGCCTAGGATAGATGAGTTATTAGATAGGATGGCTAGGGGGCAGTACCTCACTACAATTGACCTCTGTAAGGGCTTCTGGCAGAGCCCGTTAACTACTGAAGCCATCCCTAAGTTTGGCTTGTACCGATTTCGAGTCATGCAGTTCGGGATGAAGAACGCTATGGCTACCTTCCAGAGGAAGGTAGACCGGCTCCTAGATGGCTTCCAGGACTAAGCCTGTGCATATGTAGACGAGATCGCCATCTTCA